CAGACTGGACTCTGGCTTCCTGCAACTGCATGGAATTCACTTCACTGATAAAAACAAGTTTGTTTGAACCTCTGGGCCCAGGGGACCTGGATCTGTGCCATTACCAATACATCCATAGCTCAGAGCTACCACAACAAGGTAAAGCTCAAAATGGTCTTTAGCTACCTTTAGTGATATCATTAATTCAAAATTACCCCTTTCCTTGCAGTCAGTGAGGCAGTAGCCCAGGCCCTTGCCAGCACCTTTACTGGGTTTACTGGGAATGGCACAGGAGATCATTCCAGCTCTGCAGGGCTGCTCCTGCTCATCCCCCTCACCTTTCCCAGGTCCCTCTGCCGAGGAGTGAGGCTTCAAATCGTGTCACCTGTCATGCCGAACTTCTTCATGTGCTCCAGCAGGCCCCAGACACTTTCAGCATTACACGTAGAGACATCCATGTTTAAAAATGCCAATCACATTATTGGTGCAGCAGTTCAGAAACGTCTCTGCACAAGTACGAGGTCAAACACAGCCTGGACAAGCAGCGTGCAGAGCACAGAGAAAGAAACTGCACAACCTTACTCAATGCTGGAGCACAACCAGCCAACACAGACTTCAGAAACCTCATCTGCAGACGTTTGTGAAGTGGGTTTTTGACTAGATTAATCACCCTCACAAAACAACTCTAGAGAGCAAGACAGAGACCTCCAAATTCTGGTTCAGTGCTGCTTTTGCAATTCAAACCATGAAAAACCCACTCCAGCTGATGTTTAAGATGAGTGTTGAAAACATCCAGCCTGCACCTGCACAAGTGCTTTAGCAGGAGTGCCTGGGGTGGATTTGCAGGTGCCTGCCTCTGCCTGACAGGAGATTAAAGATCTCCTCGAGAGCACAGGAAGCACTGGTGGAGCATGTTATTGCAGATCAAACACGGGATTACCCTGGCTGAGGATCTGTTCCAGTAATGAGGAGAGCAGATCCTCCTCAGGCACACCGAGCGTTAAACAGGCTTTTTCTCTGAGCTGGAGTGACAGACAGCCCCTCCCTTCCTGCCCACCTCCACCAACTGCCCGTGGGAAAGAGAAAGGTGTCACAGCTTCCCAGACAAGAAAACACAGACCTTTCTCAGCCCAGCAGGAGCTGGCCATGCTGGGGTGAGATGCTCCCAGCCCCTGACAGTGAGGAGCTCTTGCTGTGCCTGCCCACACCGCGGATGATTTACAGAGCCCCAGGTCACCTCTGCTGGATGGAGTTCAAAAGCAGCAGCCACGGGGGTCTCCAGCCCACCCAGGCCAGGAGGGCACAGGGGGCACAGGAGGGCACAGGGGGACAGGGGGCACAGGGGGGACAGGGGGCACAGGGGGAGAGGGGGCACAGGGGGAGAGGGGGCACAGGGGGACAGGAGGGCACAGGAAGGCAGCCGTGGCCCAGTCCCCTGTCCAACATTCGTTCCTCTGCTGTGCTGCTGGGTTCCCTGGAGCACACGTTGGCTGCCCTGGGCTCAGCACCACGCTGCCCACGCGGGCTCTGACTGTCCCAAAGCAGCATTTGCACAAACACAGCTCCAAGCACCAGCCCTGCTTCCAGAGTCACTGCTGCTCTGCTGGGAGCTTGTCCAGCTCCCTGCAGTGGAGCTAGAATGTCTGACTGCAGCCTTGGCCGCAGGAGAGCTGTACCTAAGTGTGTTATTTGAAAATCCCCAACACAGCACCCGGAGGGTCATGTCGTCCCTTTCAAGGCATCCAGCAACCCACCGAGGCATTGAAAGAATTTGGCCAGCAAGAAGCTGTGAAGGAAAAGAACAACATGAAAACGTTTTGCAAAGGGCCTTTAAGGAGAATTGGCACCATGCAGAGAGAAGAGAGAGCATGAGGAGGGATAAACTGAGGCAGAGTGGGAACGCTGTGTTGCAGGAACAGAGGCACCTGCAGTGCTGGCCTGGGAAACAGCTGGGACAGTATCACAAGGGAAGAGTGGGATGAGGGAGGGACCAGGCAATGTCTGCAATGGAAGAACAAATTTAAAACCAAACATCATCAAACAAAACCCAGATATATAATTCAGGTACCTAATTAAGATTAGAATTGCGTAAAAAACCCTTTTTGCTGACACTGATGCATGAAACACATCAGGTTGGTGTTCTCCAAAGCTGCCTCCTTAATATAATTTCTATTGACTCCTGTAAATAAAGAGATCATCCACTATTTCTGCCAAGATCCCAGGTCTGTGGATCTGCCCCTCCACAATTTTCTTGAAGGAGGCTGAAGATCACCTGATGGGCAGGAACTGCACCCAGATTCCCCAGGCTGGGCTCTGCTGTGCTCCGGGGTACCAGCAGCATCGTTAATACCACACTAAGGAACAGGCTGCCCACTGCAGATGCAGAGTCCCTGCCTGGAAAGTGAGGCTATTCCCATCTCTTAAGAAGAAAAGAACCACCCCTCCCATACATAATTTGCTTTCTATGACTCTGTTCCCTAAAGTTTGAGTCTTTCCATGGACTCTTTCACACTGAGGAGGGAGAAGAGGCAAACAGCCATTTAAAGAGAAAGCAGAGGAACAGCAGAGCAAAGCTGATCCCCGTGAGGGCTCTGCAGGGTGGGTGAGTGTGTGCAGGGGAGGTCTGGGTGTGCCTGACTCCGGGGCCGGGTGTTCCTGAGCTCTGAGCAAGGCTGGAGTGTGACAGACCGGAGTGGGCTTTGCTGCACAGAGACCTCAGTGCTGAGCCTTGGAGCACCAGAGTCACCCTGACAGCCTGGCCCCGGCTTGGCAGAGCCGGGCTGTGCCCTCGTGCCACCTCGGGCATTGGTGCACTCCTGTGCAGGTGTCCTGCCGACCTGCCCAGGGTGACCTGCCCACAGTGACCTGCCCATTCTACCTGCCCACGGTGCCCCCAGGAACCCACAAACCACACGGGCAAGCTGTAGAGCAGCTCTGCCTTCCCTCCTGGGAGCCCCGGGACAAAGCCAGGTTATTCCACAGAAAGGTACATTAGGAACTGAACTGCTGAAAAATGAGCTGAAATTGTGCTCCACTTTTTGTACATACAATTTGCTATGCAGATCCAGCTCACAAACACTTCCTTCACTCAGCTTCCCCCTTCCCAACACTCCTGAGCTCACACTCAGTCACACTTTTTTGCCAAAATATAGTTTCACTTAACAAAAAGCTCCCTTCATTCTCCCTTGTAATGAATTCCAGCTAAACCAATGTCTCAAAGTCAGACATGGGCCAGAATTGCCAGCACAGCAGCGAGCTCAGCACGGGTGTGTACAACCATTGTGTTCCCTGTAAGGCTGCCCTGGGAAATCCCAGCCACATCATTATAAAATATTCCACATGTTCTTCAGCCACCTTCCAGAGGGAGAACTTTGTATCTCTTGTAATTTAATGCTCTGCCTCTCAGCAGTGAGAGCTGCAGCTTAATGACAACAGACAGCACATCCTGAGATGAAAACCCCGTTCTTAAAACATTGACAAAGTCCTCGTACATTTAAAATATTTGTTTGTATTTTAATGCAGATTTTCAGATGTGTGATTTTGGAAAATGTTCTCAGAATTGACTTCATTTCCTTGTCTACCATGTCTACAAATTATGGAGACTGGTACAAATAATTTTAAAATGCCTTTTACCTCGTGTTTAAACTCACAGAAGCACAGCATTGGAATGTGTCACTCCAGAAGCCTTGACCTCAGTCATCCAGAAGAAAAAATTTGATGAACTGAAAGAAAGCAAGGATGCTTTGCTTTTCAGATAGTAATTAATATAGAGAAAACACACCTAACAACAGCCTTGTCACCCGCTCCAGCACTCAGGGGAACAGAATTCAGTGTGAGCTGTCAAGATTTCCCTGCTCTTAGGGTAGCACCTAAAAATGCCACCTCAGGATCTAGTGCTGGGCTCAGTTGAGGCGTTGTTCTTTTTTCTGAGACCCGAGGTGCCAGTCACACGAGTGGGCCAGTGTTTCTCAGCCCCAGCCCCCGTGCTGGATCAAGGTGAGACCACCTCTGTTTCACTGAGGCAACCCCTGAGATAACAAACCCCAGCCAGCGAATTCCACCCATTCCTGCCACCCCTCCTGAACTCCCCCAGCTCACCTTTGATTTTGAACTCATCTGAACAACTTTAAAACCTTCCAAAATATATTTGAGGCTTTATCATATCGTTAAAGTTTTGTATTGCATTTACATCTCCAGTCGAACTCCTTCTAGAAGGAGGTTTGCCCTAGAACGACACACTTTCGGCAGAAGGGTGCTGTCAGTCAGTTTGTGGCTGTTACACACACCTCTGAACCGAAAAAAGCGCCTGGAAGCACTGACAGACGCCGCCCACAGCGAGAGGAAACCTGTCCTGCAAAACCGAGCTGAAAGTTCTGCAAAACCGAGCTGAAGGTGCCACCGCCGCTCTTAGGAGGGGTCCCGCACGAACACCCCGGACAGCGAGCGCTCCTTGAGTGCGAGGCAGCCGAGCCCCGGCGGGCGGGCCGGGATGCGGGGCTCCCGTGCGGGGCCGGGGGATGCGGGGTTCCCGTGCGGGGCTCCCGTGCGAGGTTCCCATGCGGAGTTCCCATGCCGGGTTCCCATGTGGGGTTCTCATGCGGGGTTCCCGCGCGGGGCGCGGAGGCAGCGGCGGTGCCGGTCCCGCAGCAGCCCCGGGGAGGCGGCGGCGGGCGCTTCTCCCGTGCCCGGCTCGCCCGAGCGGGGCCGATCCGGGGCAGCCCGGCGGGCCGTGGCTTCCCCCGGCAGGAGGAGGCGGTGCCCGGCCCCGGACGGGGGAACGCGCAGGTGGGAACGTGCGGCCGGTGCCGGTCCCGGGAGCGTTTGTGCGAGGATGCGAAATGAGTTAATTTTGCTTGGAACAGTTCCTGGCGGGGAAGGAGCTGACGTGCGGAGGCGCCTCCGGGGGATGAGCCGCCGGCGGAGGCGGGAGCGCTCCGCACAGCCGGGCCAGCTCCGCGGCCGGGACACGCGGCGGGCACCGGCTGCGGCTCCGGGGCCGGGACACGCGGCGGGCACCGGCTGCGGCTCCGGGGCCGGGACACACGGCGGGCACCGGCTGCGGCTCCGGGGCCGGGACACACGGCGGGCACCGGCTGCGGCTCCCCGGGCGCTCCCTGCTGAATCCCTTCCTGCGAGCGGCAGCTCCGCACACCGCGCCGGGCGGGGCACGGCGGGCAGCTGTCAAACGGCAGCGCTTGAGGTCATGACACAGACCCGTCGCTGAGGGGAAACCCGACAGCTCGGGGCCTGGCTCGTGGGCGGGTTTGTCTTTCAAGTTAAGAATTCTTTTTTTTTTGCTTATGCCTTAACGGCGGACGGCTCAGCGCTGCGAGCGCCCGCGTGTTCTGCTTCCCCCGCAGGAGCCCGTCCGCCCGGATGGCAGCGTGGGATCCCCGCAGGATGGGGGCTCCGTGCGGGCAGCGGCCCCGCTGGCTGGCGACCCTGCTGGCCGCCTGCCTGGCCACCCTCCCGGCCAGCAGCGCCTGCCCCCGGCCCTGCGCCTGCCGCGGCTCCGCCGAGCTCCACTGCACCTTCCGCTACTTCAGCGCCGTCCCCCCGCGCATCCCGCCGGACGTGCAGCGCATCAACCTGGGGTACGTGCGGCTGCGGCGCTCGCTTGCCTTGCAACACTTCGCACAGCAATAATTAACCTCCCAGATTTAGGGCTAAAAATTAACCACAGCGATAGGTAAGTGTGCAATGTTCTGCAGCGCTCAGCAGTGGCTGCAGCCACAGCCAGCACAGCCTGAGACCACCCACAGTAAGGAGAAATTTTGGGGATCTGCCACAGGACACACGAGAACTTCAGAAAGTTTTCAACTTAATTTGCCTTTATATTACCTGAATATATTATGTCTCTTGCATGGAACCTGGAAGAAGACTGAAATAGATTTCTCTCTGGGGAAGGGTAGTCCAGAGTTCAGAAACTGGTCTGGAAAAGGAGCACGGGTATTAAAATCTGCAGAGACTTTGCTGTGATGTAACACCAAGGTCGGGGGTTAGATCTCCCTGTGAGCTATTCACGAAATGATCCTTCTGAGTCCCTTCCAATTCAGCCTGTTCTGTGATTCTGTCACTGAGGATGTCTCACAGCCTTAGGGTCTGTGCTTTCATCTGCTGAGTTCCAGGGAAATTTCACTTGTCTGGCCATGTCAGCCTCCATGGTGGCCCCATTCTCTGTGTGGTTAAAGGAGCAGGGAATAGATCATAGCCAGGCTTGTCTGGCCTCTTCATGCAGTTTCCAGCAAGCGTCCTGTCTCAAATAAAATCATGAGACCTCTCAGCAGTATTTGTCTGATCTGTGTGTCCCTTTTGATACACATAACCTTTGAACCATCCAGATGTGTCTGCAGAAAACATACAAGGAGCTTTTCACTGAAGTGGTAGCGAAGTGAACACAGACAGATGTGTTTCATGTTTGCTGTCACTCACCCCATCCACTGGGAGTGTTCCTGTCCTGGAAAGGTGAGCACCTTTTGTGCTAACATGAAGGAATGACTTACTTTCCTCTTGGCAAGGGGAAGTGCTGCTTACCTTCAGCCGTTCCCAGAGAGTAGTTCTTTTGGTTTGGGTTGGCTGGATTTAAAAGCTGTGAGTCGGGGCTGACTAAACCTATCCTGTACAGCTACAACAGCCTGAGAAAACTCAGCCCCACGGACTTCGCTGGCCTGGAGAAACTGGAGCTGCTGATGCTGCACAGCAATGAGATCAGCATGATCCCTGAGAAGGTGTTCAGTGATTTACGTTCACTACAGGTAAGAACTAAATGAGCCAGTGTTACTTTTTGTTATGATTTAACTCTCAGTGATACTGAGACGTAAGCAGCCACAGAGCAGCCTCCTGCAGCATTTCAGTTTCCTGTTTCTTACCTTATTCACGTGAAAGTCCATGGCCTTCAAAATCCAGTATCCTCATGGGAAATGTCTTTCCTTCCCAGGTAGGCACTCAGGTACGGGGGAAAAAGCATGACTAACACATTGGTAGATATCTCGCAGCTGTATCTCAGCAGGCAACTGCAGTCAAAACTCTTTACTGAGGAGGAAGATTGCAAAGCTCCAACTACTGTGTCTGAAAAAGGAAACCTGTCATTGTTAATTTGTTAGTCAGTTTGGGGCTTTTTGAAGATTTTTTTTCTATTGAGATTTCCCTTTCCCTTTAGTACAACCTGTCCCTTTCTAGCCTTCATGAAAAAAAAAAAAAAGGCCAAACTGCAGAAACTTAACACACTGCATATAAACAGTTCTTTAAAGAAACTGCAGTCACCTGGCATTCCTGGTCTGGTGAAGAACTTTCACTGCACAGAGCAACCTTCAGCACCATTTATTAGGGTTCCTATAATTTAACATGGTTTAATACTATGTATTTGTTACTTTTTCATGAACAGGTCTTAAAAATGAGTTACAACAAGGTCAGAGTGCTTCAGCAGGATGTATTTTATGGCCTGAACAGCTTGGTACGGCTGCATATGGACCACAATCAAATTGAATTTGTGAATCCCAATGTTTTCTATGGGCTCACTTCCTTGAGGTTGGTCCACCTGGATGGAAATTTACTTCAGCAGCTGCATCCAGACACGTTTGTCACCTTGCGCTACAGTCACATATTCAGAATATCCTTCCTGAAGCACATCTCTCTATCTGACAATGTGCTGACTTCACTTCCCCAAGAAATGTTTTCCTACATGTCAGAGCTGGAGAGCATTTACCTCCACGGAAACCCCTGGTCCTGCGACTGCAGCCTGCAGGGGTTTGCAGGGTGGGCACAGGAGAGACCAGGTGAGCTGAAGGCTTTCTTTATGCTCTTTAGTCCTGTGGTAGCATCCTACTCTTCCTGATACAGGTGATTGTCCTTTATTCATCTATTTATTCCCCCAGAAAAGACTGGAAGATAGGATTTCTATAGGTGTTTGCTGTCAAGATAAAGAGATTGATACCACTTCATTCCCCAGATTAAATTAATCTAGTGGCCATTCCCAAGTGCAGCTTTCCTTAATGGAGAATTTTCCTTGGCCGGTCCAAAGCTTCTGTCATTGGGAGAATCCACAGGGAACAAGTAAACTGTTGTGGAATTGTCAAGAGCAAGAGCCACATTGCAGTTGATTCATTAAAAAGAAATTCAGGAACTCAAGGGACTCTAGGACTTTCTCTGCTGCTGCCACTCACATGTCATTTCAAGCTTTGATTCTATTTTATTCAATAGGACTATTTGTTAGTAGCTATATATAATTTTTAATACTAAAATTTGTAGCACAGAAACTTACTGAAGTTTTCTTCCCTTCAGATGTTATAAAGTGCAGGAAGGAGAGAAGTTCTGGTGTCCAGCAATGCCCAGTCTGTGCTAGTCCCAAAACTCATCATGGGAAAAGTTTAGTGGATCTCCCTCCTGCATCTTTCACCTGCACTAAGCCAGCCATCCATGACTCCCTGAAATCCAGAAACCTCACGGTGCCAGATGATGGGGATTTCAGTTTCGTGTCTCCCGAGGACCTGATAGCCCCGATAGGATCTGTGGCTTTGAATATGACTGACCAAGCAGGAAATCGAGGCAACATGGTTTGCAATGTCCAGAGACCTAAAGAAATGTCTCCCATCTCATTTGACAAAACTGGCCCCAGCAGAGTGCTGAAAACCTCGTTCTCAGCATTCCTGGTGTGTGGTATCGATGATGGACACATCCAGCAGCTGTGGAGCATCCTGGCACTGTACAGCAGCTCTCCTTTGAAACTGGAGCGAACTGTGCGGACAGCTGACGAGCCCTTCAGTAGCTACAAATATAAGCAGATCCTCAGTGAGAAAGACGAACTTTTCACCAGCGTTGAGGCTGAGCTGCGAGCTGAGCCAGCCTGGCTGATGCAGAGCCAAGTGGCCCTGCAGCTGGACAGGACAGCCACCACGCTCAGCACGCTGCACGTCCGCTACGCCGCCGAGGCCCGGCTCGCCCTGCCCGGCGGTGAGGAAGAGCAGGTGAGACACCCCTGGGCCATCATTTCCAGGGACAACAGCACCCAAACGGAGCACACGGTGCTGGTGGGGGGCACGGTGGAGCTGGGGTGCCAGGCAGCTGGCGAGCCGGCTCCCGCCGTGGAGTGGATATTGGCCGACGGCAGCAAAGTGCGAGCGCCTCACGTCAGCGAGGACGGGCGAATCGTAGTCCTCAAAAGCGGGGTGCTGACGCTGCGGACAGCCGACGTCTTTGACTCGGGGCTCTATCACTGCATCAGCACCAACCGCGAGGACGCTGACGCGCTCCCGTTCCGGATCACGGTGGTGGATCCTCAGGTGGAGCACAACGGGCTCAATGGGGCCCGGCTGTCGGCCGCTCCCGGCAGCACACTCCACCTGCCCTGCACATCCACGGCTGCTCCGGACGCTGCCGTCACCTGGGTGCTCCCCGAGCGCACAATTCTCCGTCACTCTGCTGGAAACAAACATGTTCTTGCCAATGGCACCTTGAGAATACAAGGGCTGACAGAGCGAGATGTGGGCTACTTCCGATGCGTTGCAGCCAACCGGTACGGGGTTGATCTTTTGGTTTTCCAAGTGCTGATGAGGCGGGATGAGACTGCTCTGAAGAAAAAGCATGGAGCTCCAGGAGAGTGGGAAGAACGCTCTGGTGATGAACTGCTGCGCTCTGCTGCAGCACAGAGACACCCCTCAGGCACTCCAGCCACCCTGAGAGCTCACGGGGAATCTGCGGCATCAGCAGCCAGCGGCCGGGGCGCACAGAGGAACAGCCACGGGAAAACGCCTCGCTGGCCCCACGCAGACAGAGCAGGCAGGCGGTTCAGGGGACACAGGAGACAGTTTGTTTCCTCAGGCAGGAGAGCTGATCCGCAGCGCTGGGCAGCCTTGCTGGAGAAAACTAAGAGGAACTCAACAGTGACAGACAAACGAAGAGAAGCTGCAACAGAACCACCCATTCAAGTCCATAAGCTCTCAGAGGTACCTGAGGAGGAGGAGGAGACATCTGGCGATCTCGTATCTCCAGAAGAAGAATTCATGATGCCAGCAGCAGGGAGATCCCCAGTACCTGCTCGGGGGAGAGCAACAGAACTCACGATCACTGCAGAGCCCGGGGAGACTGCGAATCCCCCTCCTGCCTGGGACACCTCTCTCCTGCTCACAGAGCCACTAACTCCCCTACCCTCACCTCTTCCACACTCTGTGACACCTGCCAGCAAAAGGCTGCAAACACTTCCAAAACCTACAGACCCATGGGAAAGATCTGATTTGAGTCAAATATCAGCAAATGGTGTAAAACAGCCAGCTGTACCAAGTGGAACACCCACATTCTTCCCTGCTAGGCAAAAGTCAATATATTCTGGGGAAAGTAATAATGAGCATCTAAAATCTGCATCCACAACACCCGCGACAGAAGCTACAGGCAGAGCTGTAACTCCCCAAAGCACAGCAGACAAGTTACATATTTTTACTGACTCTATTGATAATGTCTCCACCAAAACAGATCACCAGGTCCCTGTGGCGACATTCAATGCACCAAGCTCTGAATTGGGCCCTATTTTTCATAGTACTCAGAAAGGAGGAACCCCTAATCCACCACTGGCCTCAACTCTTGCTACTCATCAGCAAATCCAGGTTATCCAGGAGGTTCCAACTCATCCACCCCAGCTGCAGCAGCACTATGGGAGACGAAGGAAAATTTCTGGTCGGAGACGAATTGTTAGACCAGGACGTATCCCAGGTATGAGAAAGCACCAATACAATTTTGGGAGGCCGGGGTCTGCCAGAGGAAGTACAGCTGTGGCTGCAGGTGTTCAAGTGAATATGAGCTATGTATCAAATGTACCAATCTTCAACAACTTGAGCAGTTCCATCAATCCATTTAGCCCAGAAACACCCCAGTCTTCCCCCTCCACCATGGATATGCCATTGGAGCACCCCGTGGGTACCCATCAAAACACAGCATTCCTCAGGGAAGAGGAAAAGAAACATAGTGCAAGGAAAAAAGCTGCTACCACAGCCACGTCTGTCACTGCAGAGGACACTGCCACTACTGCAACCAGTGGAGTGGGTGTGATGGGTTTGAAGCCAACAGTTACACTTGTTAGTACTCCTCAAACCAACGCTAGCGTCACCAAAAGTAAAATACTCAGAGTGGGAGGAAGGAGAGGTCAGAGGAGGAAGAGGCCTCCTAAAACACCTGCCCCAGAGCGTGTGGCTGCAACCCGGAGCAGTGCAGCCACCCCTGCAGCGAGCACAGCCACCCCTGCAGTGACAGCTCTGACATCCCCGGCTGTGCCTCCAAGCCCTGCCCCTGCAAAGCCTCTCCCTGGGAGCATCGGCGCAGTCCCCAGGACCGAAACAGCAGCGCTGGGGGTCCCTGACAGCCCCCAGGCACCCCAGCACAGGCCCACAGCAGCCACACAGACAGCAGCAACCCCGGGCACCCGGGGGAACACGCAGTCAGCCACGCCACTGCCTGGCACTGTGACTGCTCAGAGCCCCCCCATGGCTCTGCAGACCACACCAGACCCACAGAGGAACACCCAGCTGCCCACATCACCAGCTGCTGGTCCTGCCCAGACTCCCACCATGGGTCCCCACGCCTCACCACGGCTGGACGAGCCCCCTGGTGCCACGAGTGCCCGCCCTGCTGCAGCCAGCGCCACGCCAGGGCCAGCAGCTGCCCAGCCCAGCAGAGCCACCGCTGCGGCACGGGGAGAGCCGTGCCTGAGAACGGGGCAGGGGGCTGCCCAGGAGAAGCGGGCAGTGCCGCAGGGAGAGCCTGGCACCGCAGCCCCGGCAGGAGCCGTGCCCGGCGCCCCGGCTGCAGCCAGCGCCCAGCACCGCGCCCCTGTGCCCGCAGCCCCCCCGAGAGCCCCCGAGCCCCCACGGGGCCACGGCCACGGGGCTGTGGGGAGCGGGGACACGCTGCGGGCACCGCAGATCGCACCTGCGTGGGGAGGGGACAAGGACAGCGCTGCCAGTGCCTGGCCTGAAAGGCGACAAAATCGAGGCACCACCACCCTCCCCAGTCCCATCACCTCAGGTTCTGTGAGCAGAAACCATTTTTCAAAGCCCACAATAGTCGGAGGGAAGTTGGCTGCTTTCACTCTGCTGGAGAATTCTGATGCGTTTATTCCTTGTGAAGCTACTGGGAACCCCCCTCCAACAATACAGTGGACCAAGATACCTTCAGGTGAGCTTGATAAACCTCTCTAGAGTTTACCTTCCATTAGTCCTGTAATCTGGCACCTCTTCTGTGTGCATTGCTTCATTTCAGAGTCCTGTGAACTTAGTGAAAGATAAACTTGCAAACAGTGACATAGACTCGCTGGAGCATCTTAGTGCTGACTCTGAGCTCTTTAGTGAAATTTTTAAAAATCAAATCTATGTTTAATTATAATTCCTTGCTTATTATGGGAAGAATTCAGTATTTATTGTACATTACCTGCTACTCCAGGACAGTGAGACAAGTGAAAAGGAAAATGTGGTAACACCCACTCAAATCCAGTTAGAGCTGTGCCAGGTTTGGATTGTAAAGCCCCATGTGCATTATCCAAACTTTGCTGGAGATTCAGCTTCATTCTTACTTTAAAGCTTTGGCATTCTATATGCAGAATTCTCTGATTTCTTTATGTTTTTTCACTGCTGTCATGGTTTTTTGGGCAGAGCAGAGCAGGCCAGGGTATTTGGGACTGAGGAGACACAACAAGAGGCAGACAGTGCCAGCCTGTGCCATGCAGTACCATGCAGTCCCAGGCAGTACCATGCAGTCCCACGCAGTGCCATGCAGCGCCATGCAGTACCAGTCTGTGCCATGCAGTCCCACGCAGTACCACGCAGTACCACGCGGTCCCACGCAGCGCCCCGCGGTGACCCGCTCCGTGCTTGCTCCGCAGGGCGCGATGCGGGCGGCGGCGGGGCCGGCCGCCGGGCCGTGCTGCCCAACGGGACGCTGGCGATCCGCGGGGCGGGCCCGCAGGACGGCGGGCAGTACCTGTGCACGGCGGCCAACGCGCGGGGCGAGGCGCGGCTGCTGGTGACTCTGGCCGTGCGGGCGCGGCCGCCCCGCATCGCCGGCGCCCCGCACCGCCTGCTGACCGCGCACTCCGGGAACGCCGTGGCGCTGCCCTGCCGGGCCCGGGGCAGCCCCCCGCCCCGCATCTCCTGGCTGCTGGCCAACGGCACCGAGCTGCGGGACTCCTCCGCGGGCGGCGGCAGAGCGCTGGTGCAGCCGGACGGGACGCTGCTCATCCGGGCGGTCACCGTGTACGACCGGGGCCTCTACACGTGCCGGGCCAGCAGCCCCGCGGGCAGCGCCGCGCTGGCGGTGCGGCTGCAGGTGGTGGCGGCGCCGCCCCGCATCCTGGAGCAGGGCCGGCAGAGCGTGGCGGCCGCGGCGGGGCAGAGCCTGAGCCTGCCCTGCACGGCCCTGGGGCAGCCGCAGCCCGGCGTGCACTGGGTGCTGCCCGCGGGCACGGTGCTGCGGCCGCTGCAGCCGCTGCAGCCGCTGCAGCCGCTGCACGCCCGGCTGCTGCTGCTGCCCAACGGAACGCTGCACCTGAGCCGCGCCGCCCCCTCCGACAGCGGCACCTACGAGTGCATCGCCACCAGCTCCACGGGCTCGGACAGGAGGGTGGTCAGCCTCGTGGTGCAGCGCACAGAGACGCCTCCGAAAATCGCCGTCGCCTCTCGGGAGCTGACTCGGCTGGACTTCGGCGAGAGGCTGCTTCTGAACTGTACGGCAGGTGGGGAGCCCGCGCCCAGGATAATCTGGAGGCTGCCCTCCAAGGCTGTTGTGGACCAGTGGCACAGGTATTACACTTTTTTTCCTTCTCCTCTTTGGAGCTTCAAACACCGTCTGCTCCGGTGTTCACACAATAGCCTATTACAGCACTAATACACTGTGAACTAAACCACGTTTTAAACAGTTGTGAAACATCTGTTCTAACAGCATCTATATCTAATAACAGACCGATTAACAGATCACACTAATTGCCCCGAGTGAGGTCTCAAAACAGACACAAGTCATATTTCAATTAAGGTAATTACTGTCACCGTGCACTAGCTGACTACTCTCAGTTTAGAGGAGGGGAAATTATCTTTAACAGATATGTGAAGCAGGGCTCGGGAGGGAGGGGTTTCTTTCATCTCTGCCACGTCTACCTTTGGGGGTCTCCCCACAGTAACACTTCACCTCCACCTTAGGAGAGACAGCCCCAACTCAGGGTGTTCCCAGCAGAGCCAACAGTGATCACATCCACACAACACCAAAACTGACAGTGACATCAGGGTAGGACATGCTGGCTGGGCAGGAGGCGTGGGCACAGTGCCTTTGGAAAGGCTTTCTGTGCTGCACCGTGCTGCTAACACGTTCAGTCCCTTCCAGTGCTCGGTGTTCACCCCCAGCACTTGTTTCCATAATTCTCTTCCTCTCTCTCCCCACAACAGAATGGGAAGTCGGATCCATGTCTACCCCAATGGATCCTTGGCTATTGAAGCAGTTACAGAAAAGGATGCAGGTGATTATCTGTGCGTCGCAAGAAACAGAATTGGGGAGGATCTGATACTGATGAAAGTCAGCATCACAATGAAACCAGCCAAGATCGACCACAAACAGCAGTTCAAGAAACTGGTGCCGTATGGGAAGGATTTCAGAGTGGACTGCAAGGCCTCAGGGTCGCCCACGCCCGAAATATCCTGGGGCCTGCCAGACGGGACAGTGGTGAACAACGCGATGCTGGCGGATGACAGCGGGCACGGGGCTCGCAGGTACGTCCTCTTTGGCAATGGGACTCTGTACCTCAACAAAGCTGGAGTGGCAGAAGGAGGAGACTACACGTGCTACGCCCAAAACACGCTGGGGAGGGATGAGATGAAGATCCACGTCACAGTCATTGTGGCAGCCCCTCAAATAAAGCACAATTACAAGACACACATTACAGTGGCAGCTGGAGACGCAGCCCTGCTGGACTGTGAGGCTGCTGGAGAACCCAGGGCACAGATATTCTGGTTGCTGCCCTCCAGTGAGATGATCTCCTCGTCCACAGACAGGCACTCCCTGCACACCAACGGCTCGCTCTCCATCGGCCAGGCCAGCCTGCTGGATGCTGGGGAGTACCTGTGTGTGGCCCGGAACCCTGGCGGGGATGACACCAAGCTGTATAAGCTGGATGTGGCTGCTAAACCCCCCATCATAAATGGTTTATACAGGAACAAAACGATCATGAAGGTGACGGCAGTGAGGCACTCCAAGAAGCACATTGACTGCCGGGCAGAAGGGACACCTCCTCCTCAGATTATGTGGATCATGCCTGATAACATCTTCCTAACAGCCCCATATTACGGGAGCAGGATTGTGGTGTACAAAAATGGGACACTTGAGATTCGGAACATCAGGCCCTCAGACACGGCAGATTTTATCTGTGTAGCACGTAACGATGCGGGAGAGACTGTGCTGGTGGTGCAGCTGGAAGTCACAGAAATGCTACGGAGACCAATGTTCAAAAACCCTTTCAATGAAAAAATAATAGTAAAACCTGGGAAAACTACCACACTGAACTGCTCTGTGGATGGAAACCCTCCCCCGGACATAAGCTGGATGCTGCCCAACGGCACATGGTTTTCCAGCAGCATCAGCACATCCCAGTTTTTCACAGGAAGCGATGGGACCCTGACCATCTACAGTCCCCAGAGACAGCACGCCGGGCGCTACCGCTGCGCTGCCCGCAACCAGGTGGGCTACATAGAGAAGCTGATGGTCCTGGAGCTTGCCCAGAAGCCCAGTATCCTCAGCCGCCCTGCAGGGCCGGTGACGGGAGTCAGCGGGGAGCCTCTGTCGCTTCACTGCCTGGCCGAGGGCAGCCCCAAGCCCAGGCTGGCGTGGGCGCTGCCGGGGGGCCGCGTGCTGGACCGGCCGCAGGTCAGTGGGAGGCACCTGCTGCTGGAGAACGGCACCTTGGTCATCCGGGCAGCCTCGGCCCACGACGCCGGGAATTACGTGTGCAGGGCCCACAACGATGCCGGGGACTCCTCCCTCACCGTTCCTGTCACGGTCACAGCCTACGCCCCACGGATCGTGGGCAGGCCCCCCCCAGCCATCCACACCGTGCCAGGGGCAGCGGTGCAGCTCCACTGCGTCGTGCTGGGCATCCCAAAACCAGAAATTACCTGGGAGCTGCCTGACCGCTCCGTACTCTCGACAGCTCAGCAGGGCCGGGGCTCTGGGGGCGAGCTGCTCCACCCCACGGGGACTCTGCTCCTGCAGAACCCCCGACCCTCCAGTTCTGGCACGTATAAGTGCACAGCGAGGAACCCCCTCGGCACTGACACCGCGGTCACCTACGTGCACATCATCTGAGCCAGCAACGAAGCAGGAATGCAGGGAATGCAGGCTGCAGCCCGGCCGGGCTCACCCTGGCCATGCCTTTAACCAAAGGCAGCCACAAGCGAGTGCCTGGACACATCCACAGCATCCAGTCTGCAGTCACTGGGCAAAAGGAGAGAGGAAAGGCAAAATCAGCTCTAGCATTATTTGCTGCCATTTGTCCTCTCCATGAACAGGGGATTTAAATGAAAGCAAAATTAAGGTACTTCTACTCAGCAAAGTAATAACAAACAGTGACTATCAGACGTGGTAACTTTCTGGAAGCATCCCAGAGAGCTCTTGCACGGACACAGTTTTGCATCAGTTCAATGCTGCCCACCTTGCATGACTGTCATAAGCACAGATCAGAGAGGGCAAGGACACCTGGGAACTGAGGAGCAGGTTTATTGGGATGCAGATCGCCTTCTTAATGTGTTTTAATATTTAGTCTGTTTTTAAAATAAATATTCCATGATGTAACAAGTAATGAAGCACTTTTAATAGCACAGCTGTGGTTGCCACGGTCTTTTCTGCAGAGCTGTGAGATGGCACAGAACAGCTCAGTTTGGAACAAGAGAGGAAGCTCTGCTCAGCACTGCTAGGCCAATGCATGCAGGCTAGGTGTAGAATCACTCCAACTTGGCATAGCTTTCTTATTATCACAAAAGCATTTTTTAAAGATTTCTCAATAGAATAAAAATCACAACAATTTGAATATCTGGCCTCAACTGAGCAGCCAGGTAAGTTTAAGAAGCAAATGGAGTTAGCACAAAACAGGAAAAAAGTATTACCAGAGTTTTTAACATGTTCCAACATTTAAAGTTCCTCTTGCAAAATGAATGCATTGAAAAAGAATTGTATAGACTGACTCCTAAATGACACAAAATAGTAATAAATTTATTCTGCTTTTTCAACACTCAACACAAGCAAAGGGATGAACTCTTTGTGCAGGAATAACGACAGTTTGTTTGTGGTGATTCTGGTCGATTGCTTGCCTGTGGTTCTGCACTCAGCTGCCGATGCAGTCCCTCACAGCAGCCGAGCACTCCCGGGGAAGAGAACAGACAGCAACCTCTGCTGCTTCCAGTAGGTTTATTAACATCACACTGTGGATTTTAACGTAAACTTAAAGAAGTTCTAACACAAGCAATAAACCCACTTCAGCATTTTCTAAACACAATAAGTGCAAGAGGAATTAAGTGCAAAGTACCTTAAACAAAGAACCCTATAAAGTGCATATGAAAATCACAGTCAAATAAACATGATTTCAAGTGATGCTTGTTCTGCCAACGAAGAAAGAGGTGAAGATTTTAATGAACAAATTAACTTTGCCAAAATCAGAAGTGCCTTTAGTTCAGTAGTTTGGTCCAATGCAGTTCTTGGGAAAAAGAAATTAAAATTTAAAAAGTGTTCCCTACAAATAAATAAATTCAGTATTTTTTGTCCTCTTTAAAAGTAACAGGACCTAAAAAGCATCAAATTCATAAAATTAGCCATAACGTTCTTCAAATAGGCCCAAAAAAGTCCAGCACCCACCATCCATCTCTGGTCTCTCAGCTTTACAGATCTGCCTCCTAAATCCCCAACTGTTTTTCTCATTAGACCCAGTGAAAATGCATGTGCTTCTAATGCTTTTAATTAAGTGTTTCTTTGGAAATCTGGTGTGTTGAATAAAACTGGAGTAATCCTGTACCCTAATAACTCTGTGGGCGCTACAGAAACCGCCCGAGCTTTCCTCAGCAAAACCTGGTGCTTACTGAAGGCAGTTTCAGTGTTTTACAAGACTTCAGCATCTTTTCCCTTTCTGAAACCAAATCCTTCACTTAAAACATGTTGTGTAATCTCCTGGCTATCAGTAACTGCTGAGGTTAGTCAAAGGCACTAACCGGTACAGGGAGGTTTTTCTGGGGCCATAAACACAGCCCACAGCACCTTCTGCTGTGCAGGTGCTGGCAGAGGAGTCTGCACCAGGCAGGTGCCCATTGCAGCAACACTCTCCCGTCAGTTTGTTCAAGACAGAAGAGCTATTTTAAAAATCCCTCAAAAAATGGATGAAAATTATATAAGATTAATACTTTTTAACTCAAAAGCTGCAATTTCAGCATGACTATTTTCTCTACTTTTCTATAGCAAACTTTTCCTAGTTATCCTCACCACTTGTAAATGGGAAAGAAAAAAAGCCCAAAGACCGTGGGCTGCTGTATGTTCTGTGTCATATAAAGCATCTCACTACTGCTGCTGCACAAAAGTTGTGTGTCACATCAGAAACATGACCTGAATATCTTAAAGTGTCAAGCCAATTTTATGATATGGCAACAGTTTATGCACTGTCTGCAACTTGATAAAAACCATGTATCTCTCTGTCAGACTTCAAAGGTCATCTTATACATTTGTTTTCAAAAGCAGCATTTCCTTAAATTTTTTAGCCACTCTCTGGTATATTCTGAAGACTTTACACAGGTATAATTCAGGTCAGTTGTATTTGGAGCTTCAGAAATAAGTATTTAATATTTATAACTGGAAACAAACTTTTAAACTTCTGCTTGGAGAAGTCACAGTAATGTTTCTCGAATCACCACGAAGTGCTGCCCTCTGGAGCCAGTAAATCGCTGTAAAACTCAATTCACTAACTAGAAAATAACACAAAATAAAACACAAAATAAAGCACATATCCAAAATGATGAAAAATGTGAGCCTGTGGATTTATTACATCTAGAAGATGGCAAATCATCCACCACAGCTCTTGGTATGAATCACAGAGGAAATACCCCAAGGGGTCTTTGTTCCTTCAATTGTCCCTTTTCCCTGTCACTCACCATGGAACCCCACCAGCTCTGACACTGCCAGCGCAGTGAGCTTGTTCTGGCTTCCCTACCCACAAAGTTCAACACCTTAGGAGGGACAGGGCTACAGCTGAGAGCAGAAAAGCCCTGTGCAAGCCCACAGCTGGCAAAGGGAACAGCCAGACGGGGAGGGGAACAGGACAGGGTCACACAGGTCTGCAGGCTGTGCCCCACAGCTGGGGCGAGGGGCTGGCTGCGCAGGAAGAAGCTGGGCTGGGGAGGGGTCCCCCCAGGCTGTACCCCAGCTGCACCCCCAGGGCTGGGGGGCTGCGTGAGCCAGCGGGGATGGCAGCGAGGAGCAGGGGAGGCACTCTGCAGGAAATGTTAATTGATACTTTCCAAATCCATAAACAATGCCCATTTTCCTACTGACAGAGACATTGTTGTTGCTGGCAATGATGTGAACTCCATGTGAGGGCTGGTAATTCCCACTGACAGCTCCAGGCACTTCCCAGCCTCAAGAGCAGGCACCTTCTCCAGGCCATGGTCCGGTGGAGCACAAGGAACGCTCAAAGTATCAGGATATAAGTAACACAAAGAACTCCACTGAAACATCAAAAAGGCCAGAAAAACATCCTAAAATTACAGCTACTTAAGCCACAGCACATGGGCAATCCAGCTGGATGCTGAGGGAGTACCAGCACACCACAGCAGGGCTGCCCACACGGTGCCAGGCGTGTTTTCAGTCACTCTGGCTCTGAGTGACTGCTCAGCTCAGGAAACCACAGCCCCAGCCCCACAAAAGGGACAGCGCCTCAGACTCCAGACCAGACTGCACAGCAGGACAGTTTGGGGGACTTTTCCAAACTGGTTTCCATTTGAATGGGACCTGGGTTTAACCCAACGTGTTTGGTGCCCACACAACGGAGCAGGAGGCATTTCAGAAACTGGCACGTGCAGTAAGAAGAGCTACACCTCTCCCCACACAAGAGGAAGCACAAACAAACCTGGGTAAGCGTTTGGAGGGCTGCCAGGCCCTGGTGATGCTCTCGAGCACTTGGCCCCCAGCTCCTTCTGGGGAGCAAGCACACCCCTCAGCCAGACAGAAACGGGGACAGGGGACAGCACCACACTGCTTTCACTATTAGAAAACATCCACTTTCTGCGTGAATCATTTCCTTGTACTTTTACTAAATTTAAGCAAGTAGCTTTGCAAGGTTTTTGGGTTTTTCTCTTTGAAGAACGTAAGTTTACTTTTCCTCTCTTCTTTAAATGCAACATAGAAAGTACATAATACAAGTTTAGTGTCCCAAACATGAATAAAAGTAACTAAGTGTCCTGCAGATTTCCCAAATTTAATAGAATATGAAGAAAATCCTAGAAGTCTCTTCCCACACCCACATTCCTGTATTTTTATTTTCTTCTATTTCTTCTTATTATCACCAAGAATGCTTCAGTCTCTCCTGTTTTTCCAAGATGCCTTCCCAGACACTAGGAATGATAGGATTAAAACATGAGCATAGAAAGCAACTCAAAGGAAATGCTGAAAAGGACATACATGACTGCAGCTCCTTGCTCCTCTCCACCTCCTCCTGAGCAGCTGCTGCATCTTTTCAAAACACCAGGATAGCCTCAAGTCCTGAGATGCAGTTGTAGGGCTTCGTCCATCATCTGTGTGGCTTTGACATCACCCTGGTACCCTTCTCTCCAGTCACGGAGGATCTAAGAAAAAGCACTGGACTAAGGTTGTTTTCTTCCTGTAATGTTCTCCCTCTAAGTATTTGTGGCCTTTCAGCTATAAGAAATCATAAAAGATTATTGATCTCTTTATCCTTCTTTCTATTTAAGGCTTAGAACAGACTGAGAAAACAGATGGGAAGAAGAAGTTAATTTGTAAAGAGCTGATGATCTGCTGTCATTTGTGTGACTGCATCTTCCTGTGCAAAAAAAAAAAAAACAAACTATCAGCTTTGTTATGCATTTCTTAGCAATATTGCTTGAAACACACTATTTCACAACTGGTAAGTCAATAAGTCTCTTGCACTGGATGCAGCTTCCCAGCAGAATCTGGTGCAGTCTCCAGATGAGAAATTACCTGAAATTCAGTGACCCTGGACCAGCTGCAAATCAGGGAACAACCCAGACAACGAAAGCAAAACCCAAGTGGCAGAAACCGGGGGGAAAAATCATCAAAGGAATGAGTTTCCCTGGGATGTGGAGCTGTGTCGCAGCCTGGACCTGAGCTGAGGGGCAATGTGGGAAATACAGGGGCACCAATTCTCACTGTCACAGCCGCTGGTAGAGACTGAACTCGGAGAAGGGAGGCAGGACCCACCAGGGCACTGGGTATGTTCAGGGGGGAGCTGCTGGAGGCTGCAGAGGCGTGGGTGGCAGCAGGAGGTTTGCAGCGCCATGAGCAGAGGCTGTGAGTAAGCTCAAGAGAAGCAAAGGACAGCTGCAGGCAGCGGCAGTCTGGGACCAGGAATGTTGTTTTTACAGTATGCAAAATTCTGAAACACTCACTCTGTGCCAGCTGGAGATGGTGATGGGTTTTCCTAAAGAAGGACAGTTTTAAATATATACAAACTTTCCAGGATCGATCAAAGGGCTGGGAATACCTGCTCTCAGGGCTAACACCTTTATTGTTTCTCCTAGAAAGAACTGAAATCAGACTCCAGTTCATTACATTTCTCTGTAACAAATTCAGGAGAAAAGATGTATTCACACTCAAAAGAGGAACGAGGCCTCCCCATTTTCCCCTCCTGGGACTGCTCCTTTTGGCACAGCACTGTAATTTCCCTGGGTTTACAGCATCATGTGCACATCTAACTGCTGACACACACCCACCTGACCCAGGGTGCTCATGGTTCTGTGCTTGCCTTACCTGAGTAACTGGATTGTGCAGGGATGCAAGGAGCCCTTCCCTCTGCGCATCCTGACCCTAAGGGCAGGTGAGTAGCAGTGACAGGAAAGGCTGCTGGCTCAGCAGGGACGTGCTTTAGGAGAAGCAAACACAGCAGTTCAGTAGTAAAGTTATTTTGATACTTCCCATCCTCAGTCCCTTCCTTTCTGGTCTACCCGTTTTCCCCTGAAGTGGCACTGCTGCATCTCTGCCTGTTTCTGTTTTAGTCAGTTCAAGTCTTGGCAGAGGCACTCAAGACCATTCAGGAAGGCAGCGTCCCAGCCAGCTCAGCTGCTCCTGACATCCCCAGCTCAGGGGCCCTGAGGGAGCAAGAGCTGCCCCACACCTGAAGGCCTGACCCAGGAACTCAGCAGGTTATTCCAAGACTGCTCTGACTAACCAGGGATGCCACTTTGGTGGAGATAAGGCAGCTGAAGTTTCCAATCCACGCTCGTGGTCTGGAGTAGGTCCCAAGGAAGTTTCCCCTAAAGGCTCGGATTAGAACAGGAGCTGCCCTGCTTGCTCCAAGATTCCAGCATGGATTTAATTCAATAGAATGTCTAGCATAACCCCAAGAAAGTACAAACACATTTCAGTCATAGTGGAAGGAAGGAAAATCAATAACCATTAAGTAACTAAAATTCTAATACATTTGGAGCTAGAGATGAGCTTAAGCTTAATTCCCAACAGGAAGCAGGTGACATAACAATGGTGGGACCTTAACAGCAAGGAAATCTCCCACAGCCACAGAAGGCAAGAGGCAACAAGTGCTCTAACTGCTCCTTTAAATCCCTACATTTCCCATCCCCAAGCTGCAAAGCAGCCCCTGGCAGATGGATTACAAAGCTGCCACATTCCTTCCTCTGAAACCAATGGTATTTCATCAGACCAAATGAGATCTGAATCCTCAGTAAATTCCTCCTGCACAAACACTGTTCAGCTCTGTGTGCAGGGGCTCCCCAGTGGCATACCTCTTTTGTTTCTCTCTCTTTCTTCCTTAGAAGATGGCCCCAAGTGCTGCCCTTTCTCCAGCTCCTCTCCTGCAGCTCTCAATACCCCACCTTGAACTGAGGTGGGCAGTTTTGCAATCAGGGGGACCACCAGCCACACTCCTCACTGCTCAGGGAATCAGGAGCAGAACAAACTTAAATACCCGTGCAGTTTTGTAGCCAGTTTTAACTGTTACAAGGCTGGGCTGCTTCAATAAAGCAGTGATAAAACGCCTTTGGAGTCACCAGTGAGGACTGAGAACACAGAAACATAGAAAACACATCTGAGACCCTATTTCCTCTCTGTATTTGAGAGGGACTTGCCTGAGTTTAAATGTACTGGGACTCGGGGGTGGAGGTCAGGGCCAACATCTGAAATAGTCACAAGTGCCTGCAGCCTCTCCACTGGGGCTGACTCCAGGGAAATTGTCTTTGACCTGGAGCCTGCACTCCCCCCGTGCTCCCTGCAGGAGCAGGACAGCAGCCACATTCCTCCTTGTTCTCAGGGTTTTCTTTCCCAGGAGCATTCCCCAGAAGTGAACCAGCATGAGCTGTTTCCCACACAGAGCCTGGCACAAACACATCACACAGGACTCTGCACACCCTTACCAAGCACCAAAATCGCTCTCAGGACTGCAAACACAGCTCCCACTTCCATGGTGTTGTGACCAGCAGCCAAGAGATGACAATCACAAGAAGAATGGATTCCAGGAAATAATTTCTCTGTGGCAAGAAGAGGAAATCTTGTAAAAAATGGGTGTTTTTACCAGCTAACTTTTCCTTTGTATGAAATCCTCCTGAGCTAGAGCAGCCACAGAAGCTCAAGAACCGAAACTGCAGCCTAACAGGTAAGTGATTAATTCAGATAGGATATGTGGTTATGATGGATTAATATCAAAATAAGCTGTGGGCACTGAAAAAGAAAAAGGAGCCTGTTGGTTCACTGTGTCCATGTGAACAGTGAACTTAACCATGATGAGACACTGCAGCCCATGTTGGTTTTGACACCACAGATTTAGAAAATTACTTCCCTTACCTCACCTGCATGACAAAATGAAGCAAAATTAAGTGCTGTAAATGCTTGAAATCACACTTACTCTGCATTTCCATGTAAGGCTCCCAAACAGCACAGTGTGTATCCCTGTTACTGCCTCTGCAACTGCCCTTCTCAACACTGCCAGAGAATTAGTAAGTTTGAGCAAATTCCTGTAGTTTCCTGCACCCAAACCACTTCCAAAATAACTAAGATTATTGGTATCAACTCCTCAGCAGTGAAACATCTGCCATTTCGAACTTGCGCTGTGGATATTTTCACCATGAAAATATTCAGCCATCAAGGAACAGCTATGGGCTCACTTGCTGCAATGGAAGGATGAGGCAGCTGGCAGCTCGCCTGTCTGCTGGGGACAGAGGCACACTGGGGTGTCCTGAAGGGGCAGGAGCAGCTGCAGGTCATCCTTGCCCCCGGCTCAGCATCCCAGTCCTCACAGGCTGCGGGAGGTGGGATGTGGACATGAGGCTCTGCCCAGGACCTCGCAAGTCCCAGTGCCACGCCTGGAAATGTTCTTCCTCACAACCCCAATGGAAATGCAATGATTTCAGCGAGAGGAATTAGCATTTATGGCCTTGAGCCGTTAAAAACCAGGAAAGGAGCAGCAGGATTTTTGAAAAGCAAGAGTGTGGAGCAGGCAGGAGCTGAGAGCAGGAGCCGAGGCTGCCCACAGCGGGACAGGGGCAGCTCTGCCCCGTGCCCAGAGCCTGCCCAGCCTGGCAGGGACCCTGCTGCAGGGCACCAGCCCCCAGGTACAGCCTGCCTGCCCCGGCCGGGCACTTCTCAGCCAGCCTCGAGTCTTTGGCTTCAGCTTTTCTCTTGGAGCTTTCCTCCCAGCGGCTGGAGGGGAGGGCAGTGCCACGGTGCTGGAGCTTCCTCCAGGGACAAGCACTGCCGGGAGAGAGGGATGGTGACAAACACGGCCAGGGAGTCGTGGCAGGACCGGGCACCCACCTGCAGGGACAGGGCACTCACCTGCAGGGACAGGTCACTCACCTCCAGGGACAGGGCACCCACCTGCAGGGACAGGTCACACACCTGCAGGGACAGGTCATTCACCTGCAGGGACAGGTCACTCACCTGCAGGGACAGGGCACCCACCTGCAGGGACAGGGCACACACCTGAAGGGACAGGTCACTCACCTCCAAGGACAGGGCACTCACCTGGCAGGACAAACCCTGCAGGGCCTCACAGAGCAGTGCACACAGCCCTGCACAAGCACTCATGAGGAATTCACTCAATGGGACAGAGGTGTGTGACAGACACCCAGCTCAGGGACAGAGGGGTGTGACAGACACCCAGCAATGGGACAGAGGTGTGAGGCACTTCTCCCCAGCTTCATGCCACTGTGACAGGTCACTGCAGGACCCTTCTCCCTCCCATCAGGAGGGAGACAAGCCACAAAATCAACTGGCATTAAAGAATTTCACTTCAGAGATGCCATAAAGTGTAATGTGGGATCTGGGGCATGATTCAGGGTTATGTAACAGCTTAAGAAACAGCAGAGCTGACTCACCTCAGTGCAAGTTAGGCTCTCTCTATTCTGGAGTGAAACTCGTTTGACTGCATTTAGATGTTCCCTTTTGTGTTCTTACAACACTGCTTCCTCTCAGCTGCTCTGCCCTGCCAAGGATGGCCACACTCCAGAGAATCACAGACGGCTTTGGGTTGGAAGGAACTTAGAGGCTCATCCCATTCCAGCCCTGCCATGGCAGGGACACCTCCCACTGTCCCAGGTTACTCCAAGCCCTGTCCAGCCTGGCCTTGGGCCCTGCCAGGGACCCAGGGGCAGCCACAGCTGCTCTGGGCACCCTGTGCCAGGGCCTCACCTCCTCACAGGGAAAAATGTCTTCTTCATATCCAATGTAAACTGAGCCTCTGCTAGTTTAAAGCCATTCCCCCAATAATAAGTCATACTACTTTTAAAAACCAGATTTTTCAATGATCTATGTAGACAAAATCCATAACCTATAAATTCCACACTTAATAAATGAAACACCCATCATAACAGGAGGTGATGACCTAATGCAGAACCTTCCCTCATTTCCAGACTTCAAACAGGCAAAGATTGTCCTGAGCTGCTCCGTCTCAAACAGCACCACTGCTGATACCAAAGTGCTCCTGCCTGTGTGACAGCGAGTGCCTGCTGCTCCTTCCTCCCTGCTGAGGAACACCAGACTGGTTCAACAAAGCCACTCCGAGATCTTTACCCCACACATTTCCAGCAACAGGGATGAAAGTGGAAACGATTGCAAACAAAAGCCCCAGACCAAACAGGTGGAAGGAATGTCTGCAGAGCCCAAAACCCAGCAGGGCTCACCTGCTGCAGCCCTGCTGCCCCACACACGCCCAGCAGAGCTGCCCTGGCACCCAGGAGCTTGCCCAGCATCGAGGAGTTAATGCTGGGAGCTGAGGGGCTCTCCAGGAAATCCAGCATGAGCTCCAGGTCCCACAGCAAGCTGCAGTTTGAGGGCTGAATGTTGCTGCAGGTGTCTGCTCCACCTTGGGACCCGCACTGCTGGGGACCAGAGCTGCCAACACACGGCAGGAAAGCTGCTGGCATGGCAGGATCCTGGCTGGGTTGGCACTGCATGCATCCCTTCACTATCCTGGCTGGGTTGGCACTGCATGCACCTCTTCAAAATCCTGGCTGGGTTGGCACTGCATGCACGGCTTCACAATCCTGGCTGGGTTAGCACTGCATGCATCTCTTCACAATCCTGGCTGGGTTAGCACTGCATGCACATTTTCAAAATCCTGGCTGGGTTAGCACTGCATGCACGGCTTCAAACTAATTTTGGATAAGCAACATCTACCAGATAATAAGGCTGACACACCTAGTTCGTTCAAGGTTTCCTGCAAACAGTCTTGAATTTCCAAATCACTTCTAGGATATTCCTAGGACTGAAACCTTCCTGGGACACCAGGCGAACCTACAGGGCACATAACCTCACTTCCCAATGCTGCTACCCACTGCAGGTGCCATGACCCCATGAGATGCAGTGCAGCAGAGGGAATTCATTAAGGAGAAATGAGAACGTTTATCCAAATTAAAAGCTACATTTGATAATAAGGTGATTTAACAGACAGGGTCTGGAAATCAGTAAATAGAGAAATGATACTTAATCTCATATTTTGACATTAATGATTAGACAAAAGGGCAAGAATTGTCCCAGGCCAGGAACACCAATATGTGAAGTGGTTTTCTTGAGGGAGAAAAATAGATGTTAGTGAGGAATGCAAATTTCACACCCAAAATATTCCAAGGAGTGTTAGGGCAGGAGGACAAGGTCATTAGCAGGGTAATTAATTACAAGAAGGATAGTCCCTGATGTTACCCTCTGCTCTGCAGCCAGTGCACAGCAAAGACAGAAATCCAGCGAGAGCTCCACTCTGAGCACTTGCACCAGAAGCAATATTGAAGGAGTGGCCAGGAGATAGAATCATTTTAAAAAGTGAAAGAATTCTTTTAAAAGCGGAAGTTTAGGGAAGATCAGTAACTGTTCCAGGCACATGAAACCAAACACACTCCCTCACTGACACACACTCAGAAGACGCTGCAGAGGAGACCAGAGCACAGCAATCCACAGAGGGTGAGTCTCTACATGTGAGAATTTGTGAATTGCAATGTATTATTGCTTCAAACTGAGAGAAACAGCTGGGCTTACAGCAAGCTAGAAAGGAGCTGAAATGTAACTGTGAACGTGCAGTGGGGTTGAGTATTTGGAAAGGAGACCAACAAGAATGCAATGTTATTACTTTAAATGTAGCTGTTTCGAAGTGTATACATAAATTTCATTAACAGTTTTCAGGAATTTCTATCTCAACTTGATAAAAAAAGGTGCCTCCAAACAAGTTCTGTGTATCATATCTTTAACAAATTATTTAATGCCTTGTATTATTGCTACACGCTGTTCTGGCTTGTTATTGCAGATTAACGTTAAAAACACTTGTTATTTTTGTTGTGTAACTGAATTTAGCTTGTAAGCAGAAGAAATTACCGTACAGTGCAGACACTTGTGTAGTTCTATATCTCCCATTTCTTTTTCCTAGCATTTCTGATTAAATGCTATTGCTGCCAGGTGCCTGTAAATCTATTAAAATATTATTACTGAGAAATACTTTCCTGCTCCCTATGAAATGGAACCACAAATCTGAACTATCCAGACCCAAACTAGGGACACAGACCAGGAAGGGAAACAGCAATTGGGGCAGTTTGTGAATATCACAAGATGTGGATTTGCATCTGAAAGGTTTCCATTCCTCCTTTACAAAGTAAAGGTCAAAAATATGGCATACGGGAACCTAATTATTTTTTAACGTGAAAATCAAGGAACTGAACGTTCAAGTATAAAACTCCACAAACTCAAACACGTTTGTGCCTCTACCCGCATCAAAGAAAGCTTTAGAGAGCACTGCATCTGCGGCAGCTGAGATTGTGCGGGTTTCCCACCCAGCACTGCCTGTACCGCAGGCGAGGTGCCCCAGAACCGAACCAGGCGCCCCAAACCGCGAGGGAAGCGGGGCGAGGCGGCTCCGATCCCGCAGGGCTCGGCTGCACCCAGAGGGTCCCGAGCTGCGGGCGGAGCAGCCCCGGGGCTGACCCGGGCGGGAGCGGCTCAGCCCCGGCTCCCCCAGCACGGCCCGGGACCGCACGGCCGGGATTGAACATCCCCGGGGATCGAACATCCCACGGGGACCGCACGGCCCGGGACTGAACATCCCCGGGGACCGCACAGCCCCGGGATTGAACATCCCCGGGGATCGAACATCCCCGGGGACCGCACAGCCCCGGGATTGAACATCCCTGGGGATCGAACATCCCCCGGGGACCGCACGGCCCCGGGATTGAACATCCCTGGGGATCGAACATCCCCGGGGACCGCACAGCCCCGGGATTGAACATCCCTGGGGATCGAACATCCCCCGGGGACCGCACAGCCCCCGGGACTGAACATCCCATGGGGACCGCACAGCCCCGGGATTGAACATCCCTGGGGACCGAACATTCCATGGGGACCGAACCTCCCCCGGGACTGAACATCCCATGGGGACCGCACAGCCCCGGGATTGAACATGCCCCGGGATCGAACATCCCACGGGGACCGCACATCCCACTGGGACCGAACATCCCACAGGGACCGAACATCCCCCGGGAGTGAACATCCCACAGGGACCGAACATCCCTCAGGGAGTCAGTCAAAGGCAGGAAGCAATATACTAATTATTTCTTAAAATTTCATTTCTCTCTCTTTTCTGCAGAAAACAGAAGCAGAAGCTCAGAGTGCATCATTTGGAATCTGCAGCTGGCACGGGCTAAGAAAGCAGTTCAGAGCCAGAGCTGGGTCTAAGCCTCAGGCCTGGGATGCTCAGCTGCCCCTCCTGCCCGTGCCCGCTCTGAGGGATTCCCCAGGAGCCATCCTGCCCAGCCCCATGGTGAAGAGCTGCAGGGGCTGCCAAGGAGCCCCTCGCTGAGAGCAGCCTCTGCCCAGGAACAGCCGGCTCCTGCTGGTACCTGCAGAGGTACCTGCCCTGGTACCTGCCCTGGTATCCTTATCCTGGTACCTGCCCTGGTACCTGCCCTGGTATCCTTGTCCTGGTACCTGCAAAGGTACCTGCCCTGGTACCTGCCCTGGTATCCTTATCCTGGTATCCTTATCCTGGTACCTGCCCTGGTATCCCCTACTGGTACCTGCCCTGGTACCTGCCCTGGTATTCCCTCCTGGGTACCCTCTCTTGGTACCTGCCCTGGTATCCCCTACTGGTACCCCCATCCTGGTACCTTCCCAGGTACCCCCATCCCAGTACCTGCCCTGGTACCCCCATCCTGGTACCCCCATCCTGGTACCTGCCCTGACACCTGCCCTGGTACCCCTATCCTGGTACCTGCCCTGTTATCCCCATCCTGGTACCCCCACCCTGGTACCCCCTCCTGGAGGACCACATGCCCACGCTCTGCCAGGGCTTGTTCCCACAGCTTGGGACGTGGCAGATAAACCTTTTTCACTCCTCAAAGCAAAAGTCTTTTTTTTCCCCTATTTTCCAGGAAGAAATAAAACTTTGTCAGGGACTTGGGCATCAGCTGAGAGAGTATCAATTCCCCCAAGTGCCTGTTTTACACAGGCAGAGCCCAGGCAGGGATACAGAACCAACTGCATCACTGCCCACCCGAGAGCTGCCCTGGCCCAGCTGGGGCCCCACAAGCTGAGTGCATTTGTTCACAACACGACAATTCAAAGGTGAAGCCTCATAGCAGATAAAACTCAATTTCTTTTTTTTTTTTCTGTTTGTTTCTCCAGGGAGAGGAAATACCACCATGCAAATGAAAGCCACGACCCAATTCAGCTCCTCCAGGAACGACAGCAACTGCACCAGCGACAGCAGGATCAGCCAAGTCATCTTCCCTTTACTCTACACATTTCTGTTCCTGGTGGGGATCACGATGAACGGCCTGGCAATGTGGGTCTTCTTTAAGATATCCAGTAAATCCAATTTCATTATCTTCCTCAAGAACACTGTGATTTCCGACTTCCTCATGATCTTGACGTTTCCATTTAAAATCCTGAGTGATGCAAAGCTGGTGTCCTGGGTCTTGCGAGGGTTTGTGTGCCAGGTGACCCAGGTGGTGTTTTACTTCACCATGTACATCAGCATCCTGTTCCTTGGTCTGATAACAATTGATCGCTACCAGAAAGCCACCTCACCCTTCAGAACATCAACCCCACGGAGCCTTTTAGCTGCCAAGATCCTGTCCACAGCAATCTGGGTGTCCATGTTTGCTCTCTCGTTGCCCAACATGATTTTAAATAATAAGAAGAAAACACCCAAGAACGTAAGGAAGTGTGCTCTCCTGAAATCAGACTTTGGCTTAGTCTGGCATGAAATTGTAAACTACATTTGTCAGCTCATCTTCTGGGTTAACTTAGCAGTCATAGTGGTATGCTACATCCTGATCAGCAAGGAACTGTACAAATCCTACAAAAGGACACGATGCACAGGGAAGGCATCTAAAAAGACTGTCAATCTCAAGGTTTTCATAATAATTGCTGTGTTCTTTATTTGTTTTGTGCCATTCCACTTTACCAGAATCCCCTACACCTTGAGCCAAACGAGAGATGTGTTTGACTGCTCTGCTCAGAACACCCTGTTCTACCTGAAGGAGACCACGCTGTGGCTGACATCCCTCAATGCCTGCCTGGATCCGTTCATATACTTTTTCCTTTGCAAATCGTTCAGGAAATCCCTGCTAGACATGCTGTGCAAGCACAGGGCAGTGTCGGGGCTCGGGGTGAAGGGGCAGAACGAGGGTGACGACACTGACGAGACGCCGCTCTAGGTCTCGGGCTCCACACGCGTTTACTGAGGGTGGCAGGAGCACAAATCCACCAGGAGCATCCAGAACTTCACCGACCTCTTTAGAAATAGCCCTGCAGATGAAGCACGAGCACCCTGCAGCCACCACCACTGCCTGCAAAAACAGAAAACTTAAATAACAGAGGAGACCCCTGCCCCAACCTCCCCCCCTGCCAAAACAGGAGCTCCCCAGACCCCAACCTCCCCCCCTGCCAAAACAGGAGCTCCCCAGACCCCAACCTCCACCCCTGCCAAAACAGGAGCTCCCCAGACCCCAGCCTCCACGCCTGCCAAAACAGGAGCTCCCCAGACCCCAGCCTCCCCCCCTGCCAAAACAGGAGCTCCCCAGACCCCAACCTCCACCCCTGCCAAAACAGGAGCTCCCCAGACCCCAACCTCCCCCCCTGCCAAAACAGGAGCTCCCCAGACCCCAGCCTCCACGCCTGCCAGAACTGCTGGGAAGGAGCCCGGACTTAAAGGTGGAACTGTGAGGAAAAACTTAAAACAGAATCATGAAATGCTACAGATGATATCATGAACTGCAAAGATTTTGCAGAAATAGCTGAACTTCAGCCAGAGTAAAGTTCATGACAACACAAGAGCTGAGAAATGCAGATAAAATCCACAGTAGATGTGATTTTTCAATACAGGGAGTTGTCACCTTGTATGCAACTGGCAGACAAACAGAAACCTAGAGAGAGCCATTTGGGCAGATTTTTGGTAACAGAATAACACTTTGCTTATCTCATTCTATGTTCGTACTTCCTAATCCATTGACCAATAATTAATAGTTGTATTTCAGATGAAATAATTTCATAATCACGCTTGATATTAATTAAAACCCCAAATCCTTCCCCTTACTACATAAATAAACAAAACTTTATGTTTTCACAGAGAGCATTATATTAGAAAACATACAAACACTCGATTTACATCATACTGAGATCTTGGGGAAAGACAGGCTCATGGTAACTTCTTTACTGATGATTAAGGACAGCTTTTTGCACTATACAAAATCCTCAGCCGCTTCCCTTTTTGCACTTGGAAAACTTGAAAAAAAACCAGGGAAGTATTTTCAAGTACATTAAATTTTGAGGTATCACAGCAATTGCACATGAAATAGCTTGTGGGCTTTTGGAATAAACTGTGGTTCTTTTATCACCTCTGCAAACAGCTCCAGCTGAGCAGTGTGTGTCCCCATCACACAAGAGCTCATCCTGCCAAAGCCACAGCCTGTCCATCCTTCCTGGGATGTGTCCCTGCCTGCCAGGGCACTTCTGCAACCGTAACCCAATTTCCTAAGAAGTTAAAAGGCAGCTCACTCGCTGCTCACCTACTGCCACCCTCAGCTGTGGGGTTTGTGCATCTCTGACCCTGCCACGAACAGCGCCCTGCCCGCGCTGGGCCCTGCTCCAGCTGCGACAGTCAGGGGCTGGGGTCCAGCACAGAGCACCAGGACTTCCCTGGAACAGTGTCCAGCCACCCCGTGCTGCTGGCCTAGGCCAGCTCAGTTCCCATTAATGCCCAGGGAGGGAAGTGCCAAATGCCCCACTCCCACCCAGAGCTCAGTCCACACACACTTTGCACCTACACCTGGAGAGAGAGTGGCAATCACCCAGGAGCTCCTGTCCCTGGTCAGGTGAGCTGTCCTGACAACAGACACCACAGACACCCCTGTCCCCCAGGGCCACCACGGGTGGGGTGTGCATAGGGAACAGCACCAACAGCTTGGCTGGGAAGAAAACGTGGAAGGCCCTGCCTTGGACACCAGTCCTGGGGCACTGCAGTGGGCTGTGACACCCTGGGGCATTGCAGTGAGCTCTGACACCCTGGGGCATTGCAGTGGCTGGGGCACCCTGGGGCATTGCAGTGAGCTCTGGCACCCTGGGGCATTGCAGTGACTGTGACACCCTGGGGCATTGCAGTGACTGGGACACCCTGGGGCATTGTAGTGACTGGGGCACCCTGGGGCATTGCAGTGGCTGTGACACCCTGGGGCATTGCAGTGAGCTGGGGCACCCTTACGTGGGCACCAGTGGGGACAGAGGCAGGCCAGGGACACACCACACTGGCGACGTGCTGAGGGTGACTGGAGCCAGCCATGCTCAGGGCCGTTGCTCTCAGCAGCCATTTAGCACTGACACCGGCACCCACGTAACCAGAATGTCCCAGGCACTGATGCACAAGCTCCCTGCCACAGCTGCAGCCTGAGCCCCGCCTGGAGCATCCACCTGCCCCAGGAATGGCTTCAGCAGGAGCCACAGCCCACAGGGCAGCAGCCCTGAGCCACAGCCGTCACATCAGCGGCAGCAATGAACTCACACAAACAGCTCTGCTCACAGAGAACTGCACCCCATTCCAGCACCAGAACACAAAATTCACACACAAACAACACCTAGGACCTATGTTTGAGGGTTACCCTGGAATGCTGTCAGGGAACACTCTGTGCTTGTTCATCCTACCAGTCCCGGTGTAGCAGGTCTGTCCCATGCACACACAAACCCTGACACGTGTCTGTCTTGAGAGGCAGGGTCAGGTTTCCTTTCCTAGTTTAGGAGAAGATGCTGTGCTTTCTCACGCAGAGCAAAGGGAAGAGACAAAAGCAATAGCAAATGTGACTAACTCAGGCGACACTGAAAATGAGGAAGGAAACCACACACCAACAGAAAAAGATCCCATCTTTCTACACATTTCCCCACTCTTATCACTTTGCTGGAGGCTTCTGCTGGCAGAGGAGCAGCGGCTGGCATGGGAACAGCCACAGGGGCCTCTGCGACAGCCGCTGCAGGTTTGTCCAGGTACTCGCGGGGTCGGGGTGTCTGGGGGTGCGATGGGGTGCTCAGGGCTGGGGCTGCATCTGAGCTTGGAAACGCTGTCCAAAGCTGTGCTGGGAAAGGGAAACAGTGGGTGCTTGGAAGGAATTACCAGGAGTCACTCACCCAGGAGTGGCTGGCTGTGGGGCCACAGCTCTGACATTTCTATTCAACACTGAAATACATTTCTACGGAAAGGCCAACAGCGCTCCAGGCAGCCTGCTCTTATACCTTGCTGCGACATTACCCTAGGCATCTAAAATAAGTATGGACCTTTTTAACTCTTCAGTGGATGTTAGCTTGTAAGCAATTTAAATTTCAGCAAAGATTTAGATTTTCCATGGACCAGAAGAGAAATGGGTTGGGCTGTTTAACACAGGCTCAGGTTTTGTGTTTATTCACACAAACCTGCTGTCACTGTAAGGAACATGTCATACCATAGACAGAAGGTTGTGTTTTGTGCTCTCTCCCTCCTTTTCATCCAAGCCTGTTTCCAGTGATGGGAGACTCTGCAAACACGAGCTCTGTTGGCAATGCCAGTGGAGCACCCTCCTCTGCGTGGTGCCCCCGCGACACCACCGTCACCCACCTGCTCTTCCCCGTGCTCTACACGCTCGTCTTCCTCCTGGGACTCGTGCTGAACAGCCTGGCTTGCTGGGCTTTCTTCCACATTCCAAGCACATCAACTTTCATCGTCTACTTGAAAAATATCTTAGTTTCTGATTTTATAATGACCCTGATGCTCCCTCTGAAGATCCTAACAGACTCTGGCCTGGGACCGTGGCAGCTCAAGGCCCTTGTCTGTCGCTTCTCAGCCGTGATATTCTATGACACCATGTACATCAGCATAGTGCTACTCGGGCTCATTGCCTTCGACAGATTTCTCAAGATTGTGAGACCTTTTGGGAAGTTCTGGGTGCAAAATCTGACCTCAGCAAAGATCCTGGCAAGTCTGGTCTGGCTCTTCTTCCTCGTTCTCTCCCTGCCCAACATGATCTTGTCCAACAAGACAGCGACGCCCCAGTCCGTGAGGAAGTGTGCCTCCTTGAAGAGTTACCTCGGACTCAAATGGCACGAAGCCGTCAACTACGTCTGTCAGTTCATCTTCTGGACTGTCCTCATCCTCATGTTGATATTTTATGTAATTATTGCCAAAAAGGTATATGAGTCTTATATAAAAACACAGAAGAAAGGCAACAGAAGCGAGAAACGGATTAAGGGGAAAGTATTCATCATTTTTACCGTGTTCTTCCTGTGCTTTGCCCCCTTCCACTTCAGCAGGGTCCCCTACACGGTGAGCCAAACGAGTGCCCACATGGACTGCCGCCTGCAGAACCAGCTCTTCGTGGCCAAAGAGAGCACGCTGTGGCTGGCGGCCACCAACGTCTGCATGGACCCCCTGATCTACATGCTCCTCTGCAAGCCCTTCGTGGAGAAGGTGCTCTGCAGCAGGGTGAAGGCTCTTCAGAGAACAGCCCAGACAAACCAGAAAACAGAACTGGACACACGAGTATCTCCCACCGAGTCCTGATTCTGCAGCTTGCACGCTCTACTCTGCATGTTCATAGGGAACTTGAAAAATAGTTAGGTTTACTTCTGCTGAAGAAGTAAAAGGGTGTTTGCCGAGTAATATTAACACTCAATAAATGCAGAAAAATGGATTTTCTAAGTACACTCACTGAACAGCCTTAAAAGGCTCTTGCTCAAACTGCCTGAGACAATCCACAGGTTATTTCTGTCTGCTTTAAACTAAACTCACTTCCTAAGACCTGAGCAGCTTACTGACTCCAGCTGCTCTGAAGGGCAATTCAACTTTATTTGGGAGTAAACCCCAGAGCTGGTGACTGTGTATGTCAGTAATTCCTACCCTGAGTGTCAGCTTGGCCACACATCAAGAGTAGGGAAGCCTCTTTCACACATGCAATTACTTTCCTACACCCACACTGTTTCACCACCCTTCCTCTCTGTGAGGAGTGTACCCCAGTGAGGCAGCACCCCAGTTTCCCAGGACACGCTCCTTGTCCAGGCGAGCAGAACACCCAGGACTGCATCCCCCACCCCAGAGCCATGTGGTGCTCAGCCCCACCTACCCTGGCCAGGAAGGAGCACCCAGACATGTCCCCCTCGGTGGCACTTTCACCCTTCCCAGCCCAGGCACAGGGAGGGGAGCAGGGGACGCTGCCTGAGCCGCCCATCCTGATGCTCCCTCTCCACCCAGCTCACCAGACCACGCACAGAGCTCCCCCCGGCAATCCCACAGTTCTGTACCTGCACAGAAACTGCTTTCTAACCCAACATTCTGGAATTTATGCCACTATTTCAAGACAGCAGTGTCCCTTATCCCCAGCCATCCCTTCTCCTCCAGCTCTCCTGCCAGCTTTACGCTCTCTCACACGTGCCAGACGCTTTGATCATCACTTGACTGCTATTTTTAGAAATTTATTGTTTACAGCAGTCTAATCCAATCCAGCAGATTGCTCCACACAGCTTGATTTTCTCAAAGCTGTTTTAGATTGCTGTACATTAATTATATCTGCCTCTGGGGTTCCCCAGCCTCTGCCACACAGGGAGATGTATGTCTTATTTAGCAACTTCTACCCATTACATCTTCTTCACCAGGCATGCTACATACCTTGCACAGCTGTAACACCCTTCCTAACTGGAAACTGAACTAATCTCCAATCAGCTTTCAATTGGTTCTGAATTTCCCCATAAATCAGTGTTATCTCAGCCATTGTCTGCCTCTTACATTAAATGCTGTTGCATTAAAGGCTCTCCCCACACACATACACTGTTAACAGGATTAACTTTGCTCCTTTAGGAAAAGTAAATATAATAAATTCTTAGCTGCTGAAATAGTCAGCACTTCAGTAACTGCTTGGGGGAACACAGAGGAGGCTGGAAACGTTCCTCTCGACCTGCTGGCACAGCATGACAATTAACAGAGGGGCCTGAGCTAAACACCGGCAGAAGAGGGTCTGTAAACCACCTGTGGCCTTCCACAAAGCAGAACAGAGGTCTCAGGGACTCCCAGCACTGACTGCATCCACCTCTGGATTTGCAGAGAAGTGTGGCACTGAGAAACTAAGCAGATGAAGAACAGAAATTCCTTTTACTTTCTGATTTCTGCCTGTGATCGAGGCTCACCCAGCGCTGTGCACACACACTGGCAGCTCACACAGCTCAGTGCTGAGAGCCTGTGTGTTAGGCTGGGTGTAACCACAAAATGGGATGAGTTGGTCCTTAAATAGAGGGTGTGCCAAAGGTTTTGAAGAGTCTTAATCATCTGTTTTTCAACTGCTGCTTCTGAGGTAGGTAAAAGGGAGCCAAAGCTACCAAACTCTGTAGCAAAGAAGTGAAGGTGACTGCAAGGACAGAACACCTGCTTGATGCACTTAGGGGAAAAGTCTCTGAATAGTAGCATTTAGGATTTTGCACACATTTTCTGCAAAGTTTTAGATCACTGCCTCCAGATGGAGTAAAAATCACAACAGTTAAAATGCCTCAAAGTTTAGGTCTCTGTTTTCTAAGGCCCAAATAAATACCCCAGGCATTATTTTGTTTTGCACATGATCCAGCAGAGCAGTGTTTGGAGAGCAGCTCTGCCCTGGCAGGGAGCCCAGAGCAGGGAGGGAGCAGAGAGCGTGCCATGGGGCTGCTCTGCTGGGCTCCCCACATCCCTGCAGTGCAGCCCAGGAGATGTGGAATTCAGCAACGTCTACCAGCAGAGGCAAGGCAGCAGTCACCGTTTTCCCAAACCTGGTTTCTCTCCCAGCCCGCCTGGAACGTGCTGGTGCTGCCCTGAGCAAAGCCCTGGCTGTTCCTGGCACAGCAGCTGGACAGGCCAGCAGCCACGAGCACCATTCCCACCTCACCTGGGCTCACTCCAGCCCATCACACCACGGGGCAGCAGCAGGGACCCTTCCCACAGACCAGTGTTCCCTTGCGTGGCTTGTCCTCACTCCAGACAACCTACAAACCAAAAATTGGCACAAGGCTGTGAACCCTTTTGCAGAAATGACCCTTGTCCCAGGCTCCCATGGGCCAGTTCCACACAGAAAGTACTGGCACTTGTCCTAATCACCTCTACAGGCCATTGGGTTCCTGCAAAGGGAACTACAGGGCACTCAGCAGGTGAGTTTAATAGGAAATCACTCATTTGTGTACATAGAGGCTTATACAAACTTTTTATTTCACTTGTGTTTCAGAAAAAGGAAGTATTTTATACCCTCACCTACCACATGCACCTTCCAGTCTTTGGACTGCCTCTCCTCAGAGGGACAGCATGGTAATTCCTGGGTGCCCAGAGACAAACTGCTCTTCAGAGACATCCTGACCCTTGGCACAGCTCCACACATCCCTCCATCCGGGCTCCCACAGCTCTGAGTACTCTGAAAACTCTCATAACACACAGCTGTGCTTCAATTAATTAGAGATGCAAAGCAGGGATTTGCACCCTGAGCAAGAGCTGGGCAGACAAGTCCAGCAGCCAAGGTCTGACCCACATGATGGCACATGCACAGAGCCAGCCGGGCACAGGGCAGCACTGCAGGCACCAGGACAGACCTGAGCCTGCAGACAGGATCAGCCAGCCAAGGCCTGAGCTCCAGGTTCCCTACCAGGACACCGTGAGGAACTCGAGGACAGAGGGGCAAAGAGCTGAGCTTTTAAAGTCAGTTCTTAGTTTGATACTTTCCTCCTTCCTTCACTGTTAGTGACAGGCAGCACACAGTGATCGGAGTAATCCACATCAGGAAAGGGGAAATGTCAGCCCTTCCAAGACAAAAGCTCTTCCCCTGACAAAAACACCTCCACCTTTACATCTGCAGCTTAACACTGCAGAATCCTCCCCATGTTGCAAGCTCTGATCTTGCTGACACTTTTCTGCTTAAAAAACAGAAACAGCCGGTCCTGTGCATTACCCAGGTGATGAATCTGCTTTAGCATAACCTTGCAGTTCACATTGCTAAATATGGCAGTGAAGACGTTTTAGAATGAAGCAACACAGTAATTGTTGTAATAACATTGTTCGGGCTCTTATGAAATCATAGTTACTCTCTAATCATCAAAATGCAAAAAGGGACATCCAGCCTGTAAATAATGTGAACAATAGTTAAGTTACAGGTTACCTTCAGCTTCTTTTTTACATCAGACCTTCACATTTCTTCTGTGCTGTTTTTACGACAAGCTCCCCACATTTCAGTGTTTCGTGTGTCAGCTCGTCCTGACCTGCTCAGCCTGGGAGCAGCCAGCAGCACGGCTGTGTTGGAGCCTGCTCAGTGATGCCAGGGCACTGGGCTCCAACCCATCACGTCCTCCTGGTACACACAAATAAAGAGATTTTTAAGAAAAGTTAATGTCCCTTTGCACCATATTCAAAAACGAAACAAACTAAAACCCCATGCTGGTGCAGATTTTATTTATTATCCGAGCACACACCAGTTTTGGTGTGTAAGCTCTACTCCCAGAGTGCCAATCCCTGACCACCTGGGTCTCTGTAAGCTATTAAATCACATTGTTTAAACATTTCCGTTTTCACTATCAATTTCTTCTCTCTTTCCCCACAACAAATTCTGCTGCGCTGGTTCTTAGACCCCAGGTGGGAGAGCACCAGCACTGACAGTGTTGAAAAGCAGCAGCACAAACGTAGGCAACACGCGCTGCTGTGCCATGCCTGGACTGCAGGAGAGGCTGCATTCCCTGAGCCAGCGGTGCCCCTGGAGCCCAGCGGTGTCCCTGGAATCCAGCTGTGCCCCTGGAGCCCAGCGGTGCCCTGGGCAGGGGTGCAGGAGCTGTGCTCTGCACAGCACTGCCTCTGGAGCTCAGTGCCTCGTACAGGGGATTGTTCCAGGAGGGGCAAACCCCTCCAGACCCTCTGACTCTTGTTCTCCTGCTCCACCAGGCAGCTGACAAACCCTGGAGCACGAGGGGCAGCTGAAGGAAGGCGAAGGGGGGCACACACTGTCCTGCACAGTCACGTGCAAGGCAAAGGCTTCTTCACGTCTCCTCTCCCCTGCTGCAGGGAAAGCCTTCTCCATCCTCAGGGACTTGTGCCTGCAGCAGGACCATCCCCTGCTGTCAGGGTATGCAGCTCCTGGGATGAGTTTGGCAGCTGCAATAATAAAACTGAACACACAGAGAGCAAAGCCGTGCTCCTGCAGCTTCGTCTGCATGGGTTTGCTTTGCCTTGCAAAAGCTGGGCTTCAAAGGCGAGCTGTGCCAGCAGCCTCCTGTGATCAGGGACTGAGCCTGATGCAAGGGAGAGCTCCCGAGGCAAGAGGAAATTTTGGAGGGAGTCTGCCCACGAGCAGAAATGTGGGATTTAGCACAGGGCTCCCTGCACAGAGGCCAGCAAAGCTGCTGGGGGGCAGCAGGAGGGTCCTGCTCTGGCTCAGCCCCTCGCAGGCTCCGTGCAGCTGACAGGGCTCCTGTGCAGAGGGGCACTGGGGGCTCAGCCCCTCAGATATTGGAGAAAAAACATTTACAATGTCTATGGAAAAGCCCAGGCAGAACAGACAGAAAATGGCCTTGGCAGCCCCTGCTCTCAGAGCACTGGGATTATTTTTTCTTTTTTCCTGAATTTTTAATGAGAGAGATGGAATTTTGCTTTCTTTTAAAGAAGGCAGCAGATATGGAAAATTACCCACTTCATCCTCCACTGACATGAAGCAGAACTTTGTCCCACTAGAACAGTCCCAGTGTTTTATCCCACGTCCCAGTTTTATCCCATTATTATTTCAGTGCTCTAAAGGCACTAAATAGTCTGATTATAAACATAAGTACAGCCAGGACCACTGAGGGCAGGGCTGTGAGAGGCAGTGGGCTCAGTCAGTCCTGAGGAGCACCATGGCAGGAAACAAACACTCAGGGCATTTTAGCTGCAACACTGAGTGACAAACCTGGAGTTCTACTTTCATCCCACATGTTATTTAGAAGGAAAGATCCGTTCAAAGCACAACACTAAAGGCAATCTAAATATAATCAAGTTAATAACTGACAAGATAATCTTGATTAGTAGATATTTTCATCTATCCAGCAGCAGATTTTTCAGGCTGGCACTGAATGCACAGGCACGCTGCAGACACTGCGTGCCCCGGGAGGCAGAGGCAGGGCAGCAGTGAGCACCTGCAGGCTCCGCAGCCTCCCCAGCACGAACCCACCTCCCAGGTGAATCACTGTCTGCGTCCCGGGCGCCCCAGCTGCTCCGGAGCCAGGAAGTGAGCGGAGCGCTCACCTACCCTGGCATGTGAGTCATTCCCAGGAATGAGAAAGCCAGTTGCTCCAGTTGCTCCTGGCCAGGGGAATTTTGACTCTCTGATCAGGTATCACCAAAAAAAAAGCCATTGGAAGCCCAAAAATCCTGCTGCCAGACATGGTTGGTTCAGCTGCCCTGTCCCAGGAAATACTCTGCTGCCTACTGTAGCTCCAGGACGCGTTCTGCAGGAGTCTGAGGCACTTTGGGGATGCAGCTCCGAGACGAGCAGAAGGCGACGATGGTGACAGGTAAGTGAGCTCTGACCATCCGAAAAGCGTTTGATAAGTTGTTCAGTGAATCTGCTAGCACCTTCTCACCCCTGGGTGAAAAAACAGGAATTAAGATATTAAGTTGTTGAAAACCAGACTTGGAATCATAAACTGAGTGTCAGATCAATTCAAAGAGTGAAAAGTTCTCAAAATAACATGCCTTTACCAACATTTTATTCACTTGTACATAGTATTCACAGTGGCAAAAAAGGTTTGGTTTCTACTAATCCTGCCAAGATACGACTCAACGTGCAGGTGGGTTCATTGCTTTGGTAACTCACGTCCTGACAGAACTTAATCATATAAAGTAAGATTCAGTAGCTACAATATCGGAATTTGCTTTAAAAGGGTTTATACTATATTCCCTTTCACCTCTTTCAGTACAGGAAAGCAAACTTGAGCTCTCTTCACTATATGAACAGAATAAATGCTCTCTTCCCTCGTACTTCGTTCAAGTCATGTTAAAACTTGTCAGGTTCACTGGAAAAACCACATAGCTCTGAATGAGCAGACTAGACCTGATGAGTCTCACAGCTTGGGAAATACCTGAGGTGCTTGCAGAAACCTCCGTCTTTTAGGGAGATTTTATACTGAAGAGGTTGCTCTCGGTTACGGAGCACTGGGAGCAGCAGCGCGATTCGAGGGTTTGTTAAAAATTACTTGTTAGTGCACTGTGGGGCCTGCAGCACTCCTGTGTGCTCCATCTGGAAACTGGCAGCATTTCACACTTCTTTAAAATGGTTTTAAAGAATTCTGCAACACTCTTTAGAAAGGGAAACCAGGAAAGCCAGGGAACCTTTGGGTGATGTCGCTGATTCACTCGCGGGCAGCGGCCCTGAGCATGGCAGCCACCAGCACTGCTCTGGTTAGGAGAAGCTTCCCCTCCTGTCCTGTGGTGGGCACAGAGCCCCTCCTGCCTCCCCAGGGTGGGGAGGAGGCGCGGCAGCACCTGGGACAGCCCCTCGCAGGAGCGGCAGGAGGGGCAGGAGGGGCAGCGGTGCCGGGGGTCCCACACGCCGAAACCGTGCGCGTACTCGGGGCTGGGAGAGAAAACAAACCCTGCCAGTCTCAGCAGCATCCCTGAGCCCTCCTCCCCGGCCCGTGCCCGCCCAGCCCCGCCGTGTCCCGGGAGCCGTGTCCGCTCCGCGCCGGGCTCCGGCAGCGGCAGCGCGGAGTGCCGGGAGCCCGGAGTGCCGGGAGCCCCGAGTGCCGGGAGCCCGGAGTGCCGGGAGCCCGGAGTGCCGGGAGCCCCGAGTGCCGGGAGCCCGGAGTGCCGGGAGCCCCGAGTACCGGGAGCCCGAGTGCCGGGAGCCCCGAGTGCCGGGAGCCCGAGTGCCCGCAGCCCCGAGTGCCGGGAGCCCCGAGTGCCGGGAGCCCCGAGTGCCGGGAGCCCCGAGTGCCGGGAGCCCAGAGTACCGGGAGCCCGGAGTGCCGGGAGCCCCGAGTGCCGGGAGCCCGGAGTGCCGGGAGCCCCGAGTGCCGGGAGCCCGGAGTGCCGGGAGCCCGGAGTACCGGGAGCCCGGAGTACCGGGAGCCCGGAGTGCCGGGAGCCCCGAGTGCCGGGAGCCCGGAGTGCCGGGAGCCCCGAGTGCCCGCAGCCCCGAGTGCCCGCAGCCCGCAGCCCGGAGTGCCCGACCCCGCACCGCGGAGTGCCCGGCCCCGCAGCCCCCGGCAGGGTGGCCGAGGTGGGGACATCCAGGGGCAGCTAAACGGGACGGGAGCACCGGGACGGGGCAGCAAGGCACCATCCGGACTGCTCCACAGCGACGCAGCGCCTCAGAGGCACAGGCTCCTTCCCACTGCCCTGGGCACAGAGCCCTGCATGAGACAGGCCAGCAGCCGGGGACAGGGAATGCTCCTTCTCCACGCTGTATGACCAGTCCCTTGCTCACCTGCCCAAAACAAAGTTCAAAAAGAACCTCCTCTTCGAGCCAGTGAGCCCCAGGAGAAGCCAGGCAAGCCCCTGTGGTCCAGCTACAGCGCTGAACTTGAGCTGTGCAGTTTTATCGACAGTTTGGGGCTGGGTGAAAATGCAGCTGACACACACCGTGTCCAGAGCCTCTGCACAGCTGTCAGCTCCACAGGAGCCCGGGCTGCAGCAGACACCAGCCGCAGGGCTGCCAGGAAAACTCGAGAGGAAGGAGGCAAGATCCATTCCTACATTTCAGCAGTCTTAATCCTTTCCAACAGGAAATATTACCATAACATCTTAAATGAATTCAAACTTTGCCCTGTTGATTATCAGAAGTTGGGTTTCCACTTCTGACCAACAGTGAAGCTCACATGAGGTGCTGCAGCAACCACTGCTTCTGGCTCTTCCTCAAGAAAATGGCAGTGGCACACCACAGGTTCAAGTGATGCTGAGCAGCATCAACTGGACTTGGGTCAGTCTGTATCACCCTCCCTGCAGCAGCAGGCGCTGTGAAAGGAGCCCAGAGCTGGGTGGCAGGAGGAGCAGCAGCTTTCACAGCTGTGCCTGGTGCCCTGCCCAGGGCCAACAGCCTGCACATCCCAAGAGGGGCCGGGAACTCTCCGGGCTGTGCATGAAAAATCACCGTTGCACCAGGCTGGACTTCTCCCTAAAATCCCCGTGTCCTTTTCCTTCCTCTTTCAAGCAGTGGTGCTGCTGCAAGTAGCAAACATCTCGGTGTGGCAGCAGGATGTACCAGAGCACAGAGAAACCAGCTGACACAGGCACACGAGGGTTTCCTGGTGCTTCTGTGATGTGAATTAGGATTGCATACACAAAAATCAATTGAAATTGCTTCAGCACAAAAAAATTGCCTGAAAGGTAGACAGGAGTTACTGAAAGATTTAAATGGCACTGGCTATGTGCACATACCAATAATTTTCCATTTCCAAATATATTTTCTCACAGTGGCCCCTGAGGGATGTGATACAGGCACAACAGACACAGGTCTCACAGATAAAAGTACAATGCTACCAATTACACATTGCATTTTTGTGTTTGTGCCCCAGACATCTTGATTGTTTTTAAAGTGTAATTTTGAAATTTCTACTTAATGTTTTTCACTGCACAGTACAAATAATCAAACCTAAAAGCTGATCTTTTCCATAAAAACCTGTGACTCAAGCCTGGCCACCCCAGCCATGGCCTTTGCTGGTGGGCTGCAGAGCATGGCAGCCACGGCTGCACCCATGGCAGCGGTGTCACCAGGGACATGGCACGGGCACGGTGACATAGCATAGGCATGTGGCACCAGGGACATGGCACGGGCATGGTGACATGGCAAAGGCATGTGGCACCAGGGACATGGCACAGGCACGGAATCCATTAGCTCAGGCAATGTCATGTCAGCTATCTCACACAGGAACCATCGAGTTCATAATAATTCACTTGAGAAAAAAATTAATGGCTACATTTGGAGAAAATATTCCAAAAGTGGCCTTGAGAAAGTTCGATTTGCCCAAGTATTTCTATTTCTAGAAATTCTATTTCTTTTTAAAATGAGGAAATCCTGCAATCTTAGGGACATATTCCCCCAAAATGAGAATTTTGCATACTCGATGGTATTACCAAATGCTTACTCCATGGTTTTGCTACCCCCAGTGCCAGCATACAACAACAAGTTACAGGTGCAGACAGGCTGTGAGGTTTCAGCTGCAGCACAGGCAAAGACGGAGCACACGCAGGGGCTGCCCTGACACCAGGCACAGCCAGGCTGGGCACTGGCACAGCCAGGCCCTGGCACAGCCATCCTGGGCACAGCCATCCTGGGCACTGGCACAGCCATCCTGGGCACTGGGGCCACCCGTGTCACTCACAGCTGTCACAGAGGAGCGCTGAGCCGTGTTGTCAGTGCCTGTGTGGGGGCTCTGCAGGTGACAGGTGGCTTTTCTCCTCTCAGAGTGCGGCTGGGGACACGGGTCCCTGCCAGAGGAGCGGGGCTGGGGACACGGGTCCCTTTCAGCAGCACAAGGCTGGGGACATGGGTCCCTTTCAGCAGCACAAGGCTGGGGACATGGGTCCCTTTCAGCAGCACAAGGCTGGGGACACGGGTCCCTGCCAGCACAGAGCCAAGGCAGGGCTGCTCCCGTGTGCATCCCGACGTGGATGCCAGCTCAGGCCCGGGCAGGGGTTTGCCCTGGCCACTGCCCTTCCCGTGTCTGCTGAAGGCAAACGGAGAGGGCAGGGCAGGACCCTGAGCAGCGGCCGAGGGCAGAGGGAAACCCGCTGCACAGCAGCTTCCCAAGGCAGGATGCTGCCCCGAGACATGCGAGAGGAGAGCCAGGCTGGACGCAAGGGGAACTTCAAGGAGGAACCTGAAACACAGAAGGGGCACAGAAGGGGTGTTGTGCCAGATGCTGGAGCAGACGAGCAGCTTTCTGAGCAGCTGCAGGTTCCTATTTCTGGCTAGGACTAAGAAGAGTCACTGTGAGCCACAGCTGGGGACAGTTATAGCCCAGTCCTTCCTTTCAGGCTCTCTGCAGCGTGGCTGGTTGAGCTGCTGGCACTGGAGCCAGCCAAGGTGGCCTCACTGACAGGACAGGGGGCACGGGGCTGCTGTCACCCTCTCCCCGCTGAGGAAGGGACCCATGCTGGCTCTGGGTGTGACACCCCTGCTCAGCCAGCAGCACGGGGTGCTCGGGGCTCCAGCACTGCTCCGAGCACGGGGGGACCCCGGGAGCTCCCACCCAGCCCAGGCAGGCCAGCGCCAGAGGTACTGGCTACAAAAACACCAGAACCATTAGAATGTGCAAAGCCCAAGACAGTGAGCAGGGCAGCTCGCCGGGGTAGGCACAGATCCAACAGGAATTTCAGGTTATTCCACTGTGCAGGACCGGCACATTAACATATTCCTTCACCAAAAGGGAGCTGGACCATTTCTGCCAGAAGCCTCCAAGGAAGGGAAAGGTGGTGGTGCCATGGCTGCTGGGGCCAGGCTTGTAGCGAGCAGGAGACAGCACCCAGACAGAGCAGGAGATGCAGGCAGGGCAGCCACACCAGGGAGGCTTGCTCAGGGAGCACGGGACAGGAGCAGGCTCAGGGGACACGGGACAGCTGTGGGGTGACACAGAGACCAGCGGCGCATGTCTGCCCGCAGCAGCTTCATGCACACACGCTCTTACCCTGCACCAGAGCTTTTTTCCCCTAAACCTTTCAAAACAACTCCCTGATTTGGTTCTGATGGGCAACAGAAAAGAGCAGCATTGCAGGCAGCCTAACAGCAGGTTCAGTATCTGCCTCACAGGTCTGTCTCTGCATTAACCCTGTCATTTACCCAACCTTATGGTGATGAATGCAGCAGAAGGCAAGGAGCCAGACATCAACAAGTTACGGGCTCAAATGAAAACCATTACTTAAGACTCTGCAGCCCCATGATCTAGAACAGCTAGTCTAGGTCACAAAGAGAGTTTTCTAACTCTAAAAAGTTTTAAATAAGATGAAAAAATATTACATATGAGCATAAACAATTTTTGTATATATAAAAGGAAGGTAAACTCAAGCCTTAGTCACTAGAAAAACTCAGCAGTTGTTCCCTATCCACCTAACACTGAAGGCTGCCATGCAGCCTATTATTTCATTTCTTCTCTGAGGTTACATCAGTCATGCACATAAACCAGTCTGTCCACATCAGCAGCAAGATATTATCTCATCAACCACAGACAAAATACAGAAGCTACAAGAAGTAAAATGTATTCTGGTTTACAAAGCTGCCTGGATAAAGAAGCAGCTTTTAGTGCATCTTCAAAGCCTTCCAAGCAGAATATATTTGTGTATCAGATTGATACAGCTGCTTAGGATAAAATTGGTGAGGAAAGCGTCCAGAAAACTGGACAAGGAGAGGAAAGCCACCCCTGCCAAGCATACAGAAAATACTGTATTCTGACAAGTAAAAAATCCACAGCTAGAGTACACAGTCCGTGAGCATCTACAAAGTACCCTAAAATACTCTTCCAAGAGAACACAGTCTCCATCTCCTGTTGCAACAAAGCACGTTAAAAAGAGTGAATTCTCCATGTAATGAATTTGTTCCTACTCCTGGAATCTGCAATATTGCAGGCTTTTTTTGGAAAGAATGAAGCTACAGAGTACAGATGCCCCAGCATGTAAATAATGAAGCCACACTGCTCTCAGTGCTCTGCCCACCACAGCACCCCTCAGCCTGACAGACAGGGCACACAGGGCACACAGAGCACACAGAGCACACAGGGCACACAGAGCACACAGGGCACACAGAGCACACAGGGCACACAGAGCACACAGAGCATACAGGGCACACAGGGCACACAGAGCACCCAGGGCACACAGAGCACACAGGGCACACAGGGCACACAGGGCACACAGAGCACACAGGGCACACAGAGCACACAGAGCACACAGAGCACACAGGGCACACAGAGCACACAGGGCACACAGGGCACACAGAGCACACAGGGCACACAGGGCACACAGGGCACACAGAGCACACAGAGCACACAGGGCACACAGGGCACACAGGGCACACAGGGCACACAGAGCACACAGAGCACACAGAGCACGCAGGGCACACAGGGCACACAGAGCACACAGAGCACACAGGGCACACAGGGCACAAGGGCACACAGGGCACACAGGTTACAGCAGGGCACACAGGGCACACAGGGCACACAGGGCACACAGAGCACACCGGGCACACAGGGCACACAGAGCACACAGGGCACACAGGGCACACAGGGCACA